TGAGTCGAAGCCCCATGCCAAACTAAGTTATTTCTCATACAGTATTAAGATTTGGGGAAGCAATGTGTTTTCTAGGGTCATTTTATATAAGATGGGTACCTAGCACTTAAGTAGTTCCATATCCGCTTATTAACCTAATTCAGGATGCTTTACAAAGCAGGGATGTTCTCACTGCTGTCACATAGGTGAAAAAGCCAAAACTTACAGCTCTTGAATGATAAGCCCAATATACCCAACGTATATTTGCTACAAATAATGTAGATATAAAGAAAAAACCTGAACCGCGGATGATTTTGAATCCTTATGTCCATTTCCCGATCAGTGTTTGTGGCCTCTCTAAACGCCGCCTTGGTTAACTAAATGCTGGCTTGGTTAACTCAAATCTCAGGAGGTTGAGCTAGCTAACATCCATTGTTAGTATTCAACTAAACTTCTTTGCTTTCGTTTAATATGCAAGTTTGGCACTCCGTTAAACATAGCAGCCAAACACTTTGGGGAGGAGGGGGGAGAAGAGAACAAAAATGGTTTAAGAGAGTCAACCAAAATAGAGTATAATTCTGCCAACAAAGGTTTTTTTGTTTGTTTTTTTCATGACTTTTCATCACTCATTCATTTTTGTCTTCTGTGTTCTTACAGAGGGATGAGTAAGGTTCACTCCAAAAAGTTCTAGATGCCTGGCAGGCAGTAGGAGCGAGGACTAGAATTGCAAGGATGTCTTGCAGAAAATGACATCCCCAGCACTCAGTAAGGTAAACCCATTTATTTTGCCATACTTTTAAGGTATTGGTAGGACTGCAAATGGTATAAAAGTCTGTCTGTGGAGAGACTGACAATATTTATAATTACAGTGTATTAGCTCCTGCCTGCGCCCTTCTCTGAAGGTTCTTTTTTTGCCTGCTTCTCGCACTGTTATCCAGGAATCTATACGTTACTCAGTTACTTCTGGTTACTAATAGGTTAGACTAGACGGAAGAGGTGGATGGAAATCCCTCTTGCTGTGAAGTCCTTGAAAAATCTGGCTTAAAGTGAAGTGTCTGTGTAAGAGATTGTGGAACAAACAGACAACAGACAGGAACAAGTTGCTGAACCAGAGGAAGCCCCAAGGGACAGTGCTGCTAACGATGGTCTCAGCAGAAAATGTGCCACTGCTTTTTAAATAAGGTTGTAGGGGAAAATCTGCAGACTCCAGACCTAGAAGTTTGACCACTGCCAACTGAAGTAGTAGAACATATAACAGGGTAGAATTATCAGGCACCTGCATAAATATTATGTAGTGGGGAAGAGCCAATGTAGCTTCTGTAATGGAAAGTCATGCCTTAAAAAATGTTGGAATTCTCTGCAGTTCTAAGTAAGCATGTTGAGAGGTCTGGCTTACAGTCTGTAGTTGGATTTCAGGAAGATTTGAAACAGGAGCCCTCACCTGAGCAGCCTTTCACATTATGAGCTCCCCGTCATAAATAAACACTTGGTGCAAAGATAGGAAAGAGGATGTGAGGAAATGAGCAGACACCATGGTGGCTGGAAGTCACTGCTGGAGTGAAATAGTGCTGCAGGGATGTTTTGTAAATTATTTGGAAACAGTTCTTCCAGATGACTTTACCTTATTTGAGGTGGTAAGGAGGAGGGCTGAGGGTGATGAATTGCAAAGGTAAACTGATTCCTGTGGGTGGGGAGCAGTCCTAATTTCACACACAAAATGAGTGAGTTTTTGGGGCCATAATGACTAACTCTGTGAAACTTTTTTATCAGTAAAGTCTGAGTTTGGATAGTTTTACACATGCTCAGGGAAGCACAAGCTCATAGTTACTAAGTACACAGAACGGGTGGGGAGTTCAGAAGGTCCCTGCTCTAGAAGTGCCACGGGTGCCTGGAGAAGTGCTGTCCTAGGCTCCTGCTTTTGACCTCTGGGAGAGCACGATACAGGGAGGGGTGTCCTTTGGTCTGACCCAGCACTGACTGTCCATTTATTCCCACATAAAATCTGTATGACTGGGAACTGGTATGAGGAATTGTCTCTGCAGAAGTGGCAGCATGCTCTTACGTACGCTTCTTCATCACACTGTCAGAAAGATAGATGTGCACGAGGAAAACTCTGCAGTTGCAGGTATCTGGACCTGTGAGCCAAAAGAAGATACAAATTACTGGTGGGATTTTTTTTGTACCTCCTTTTAGTGAAAGCTCAGTGTGTCTGATTCTTGCTTGCAGGGTCACTAAACATTTGCCTGAGACTAGCCCAGCAGCCTTGAACCCTTTGGGCACTTGCGCAGACTTACTTAGCTCTCGATCTTCCTTTCGTGACTTCCGTACCTTTCCGTGTGCACATGTACACACAGATGCTTAACAACCTGTAGCTAGTTTGCTTACAACAGGATTATTAAAAACTGATTAAACCTACAGCTGATTCTTATTTGAGGCAGAGAAGCAGAATTTGTTTACTATATACAAGCAAGAAAATCTAGATAGCAATGAAGACTTGCAGAATTTATCACAGACTTGCATGTGAAGAGATCGTGTCTCTTGCTTCCCAAATGCATAGGGCTTGCGTAGTTGGTACGTACTGTCTTTTGCAGTGTGCTTTGCACAGGCAGGAAGGGGTTTGATGTACGGGCAACATGCTTTCTGTAAAGTGTAGACAGGCTTTGAGGCAGAGAGTTTTATGTTAACGTAACTTGGTATGAACAAGCAGGTCAGACAAAGGGTAGACGGAGGGTTCTGGATTTCTGAGATGGTATTGCAGTCAGCTCATTCTGCGTTTTTGCTTTTAAAACAATCACATTTCTTATGACTACAAGGCAGTTGCCTGCTGCTGTTTCTACTGAGACCTGAAGATGCTGCGATCTGTCTAGGATCAGCCTGCAGCAATGAAATGACAAGTGCCCTAGGGCTGCCAGTATCACATTGACACGAGAGCACTTGCAGCTTTACAGAATTACTTAATTGGAAATGCAGGAGGTGCCAGGCAACTCAGATCCTGTTTCTGATGTCGCATTCCATAAGAGCACCAATTATCGAATGAGTTAATGCTCCACTCAAACTGGCCGTGTTTTCAGCATGTCTTTGTGTATGGCTGATGAGCTGGAAGTTCCAGTTAATACTGTCAGAGAGGTCTGGAAGTACTGTCTTTAGCGTGAAGCTTTCCCTTGAGTGAGTCTTTCAGAGGGTCAGTCTGATAGAACGAAGTGTTCCTCCTCCATCTCTTCCTCCTTTCAACCTTTTTTCCTACTTGCAGCCTTTTTCTAGGCAGGACTCTTATCTGCGAAGTCCACCAGGCAATTTTATCTAAGGCAGGCCGGTGACTTCAGACAAAATTTTTAAGAATCCCCCCCAGGTGAAATCCACAGCTCAGAGCAGCGTAGCCGACGTGGAGCTGGCCATTCTGTGGCAAGTCTCTGCCATCACTGAATTATTGCAGTAAAGAATTGGATGTTTAGAAAAAAAAAGTAAAAATATCCCACCTCTGGCCAGTCACGCCAATATGGTTTATTTTTTTTTTCTTTCCTGCCTATTTTTACATGTTTGTGTCTGGATTCTTCTGAAGTGAAATGTGACACTGTTGGGGAATTGGCACTGGTGATCCAGAGTCTAGCAATGCTGAATTTGTTTCAGTGTAGTTAAAGAAAACTATTGCTGGTGGATCTTTCTTCATGAGAAACATCAGAGCAAGAAAAGATTGGTTTTGATGGTGAAAATTTTTGTGGTAATTTTTAAAAGCTGGTGACAAATGAGAGGCAATAGCTACTTAATTATGTATATACTTCCCTTGCAGGTTCAGGTGTATACAGGATTCTCTCTCCATTTCTAATTATGTACGATGATGAACCTTTGCTTTTTTCTCTTAGATCTACATGTGGTTGAATTTCAGAAGCGATGAGGCATCTTCTGAAACCTTGCATTCCAAGAGTCCTTTTTTGAGGGTCGTCCTTTCCAAGTTTACTGCCGATGGAGAAATTTGAAAAGTTTGGTTTCAGCTTTTTGTGTATTCAGTACAGGAAAAGCACATTGCCCACTCTTCTCCTAGCTTTTTGTAGAAAAAAGCCTAACAAGCATCCCCAGGAGCGCGCCAGCCAGGAGATGGTCTGCTGCTAGACCCGTAGAAAACTGCAAATTGTTCTTGAGTTTGAGCTAATGATGCACTGTTGGTGTCGCCGTCTCCAGCTCCAAAATCTCAGCCTGTTTCAAAGTGCTTTATACAGTGAATAAATAAGTTTGTTCCTGTTCGACAGGTGTAAGGGCTGCAGCACAGAAAGAGGAACGTTAACTCTTTGAAGCTGCAGAGTAAACTGGCGACAAACCTAGAAGAACAATCGCAGGTTCCATGGTTGCCTCGAATACTTAGTGTTGACCGGAAGAGAATATTTTTCACCTTTCTGGTAGGTTGAATTTTACGTTTATTTTGTAGAGGTTCTAACACAAACATTTCCACAGTGTGATAAACAGGTTTGTCACTGTGACTGTAAACAGGGCATCTCCCAGCTCAAATGTTCTGTGTGCTGTGGAGTTCAGGATTCTGATGCAGTTACATTACTGTTTAAAATGATTCGTGACTTCTGTGGACTTTCTGAGCCAGCACAATTTTTGAGGTGGTTGTTGCCAATTTCTTTTCTGTCTGCTTAACAGATTTTGTTAGTTCTAGGTAAAAAGTATGAAGTACTGGTTGGTGTTTGTTTTCAGTTTCTGAATTTCCTAACCTCCCAGTCAGCAAACTTATTTTTACTGCTAACTGCAGCAGAGTTGCTTTTTATCGACAGTCCTTAAAAGATGAATACTCAAACTGCAGTTTTCTGTTTGCTTATCAGTACAGCTCAATATTTGCTGAGCCTGGTGTAGACACAGGTAAAGCTGTCACCTGCATCCGTAGTTTGCCTAGGTTGCGCAATTAGTTACAGCTTTCAGATTTGTTGTTGTGGAGAGATGCGTAAAAAAATAGGAGTTTGTGGAAATGAGTTACTTCTAAACAAGCTTTATATTCCTAATTATGTTTGTATCAATTTTCTAGAGCGATGCCAAGAAAAAGAAAGCTGTTGGCTCAATTAAGTGCTCTCAAAAACAACTCCAGCATCCCTCCATTTGATGCCTTGGAGAACGTGAATGCTACGCCTGACGGGGGTTCTTCTCCAAAAAGCAGCAAATACTTTGCGACAGAGAATAAAAAATCTTCCCAGCTAGAAGCAGATTTTTTCAACCAGCCCTGTATTAGTCTGGCCAAGTCCTTTCTGGGACAGGTAAGACATGAACGCCAAGACGATCTTACTGGAGCATGTGCTAGCTAAATACTTCGTGTAAAAGGGTGACTTTTTTTATTTTTGACATTTGACTCCAGGGTTTGCTATTTTAGGAATACTGCTCTCATTCCTTCTCCTGTTAAGTGCAGTGGAATTCAAAGACTACTAGCCAAATCTATTTTGGATGAAGTCAGAGGAGTAATTTTTCAGGTTTAGTTTATTGTCACATTTCAGAATTAGCTTTCTCTGGAGTCTTTCTCTCTTTTTTTTTTTTCTGGTTTACTCTAATGTACTTTGCTGTTTGTGGCTTGAAAGCTGTTTCAGCCCATTATTTTCCTTTCAGGTATTCCTTTATTTGCTTCGCCCAGTGCAAAGTAATGCTCTGCAGTCAGCAACATCTCCTTCTCTGCCTCCATCCCCTATCTCGTGATGCTAACAGCACGGCAAGCCCTTGGCCTTTCCTGACCAGTATCCGCTGCCGTAGCGTGCTCGAATATTTCATTCTTATCTGCAAGTTCAGCAGACCGCTTGGCGCTTTTATGCTGCCCTGCACGCTTTGAAAGTTGTACCTCCTACTGCCCTTCTGAATAACTCGAGATCATCAGTACCTGTGGTGAACTCCTGTGACCATCCTGCGGAGGTTATTAACGTGAACACAGGCAGCAGCACAGGCTCTAGCTTGGAGATGATGAGTGCTCCGCAGTCCCACAGTTAAACTCTCTTCCCTCCTGAAACCACTGCTGCCATCGTTTCTTTTGGAGTTTTCACACCATTACTTGTTTGTTCAGGGACCTTCTCCCTTATCCTGCTGCAGGAACTCTGAGGAGCCTTTGGACCTTGCTGAAAGCCTTAGGAAATCAGTGGGGGAGATTAAATGTGTCTCTCCTACTTAGTGAGTCCTTCAAAAAACTCTCGTGCTGCTTCCATGGGAAGGAGTTCCTTCAGTGTTTTCCCTGTCAAAACTTCCAGTCTGGGTCCTCGTTAACGACAATCGCAAAATATGTTTTTAGTTTCACTGCTATGGTCTTATCTTCTCCGAGTCTTTTTTTATACCTTTATTGTCTGTAGGGTGAACAGCCTCTCTGTGGGTTCTCGTTGGTTTAGATAACTTCAGGAATTTCTTCCACAAACTGTTGGTTTTGGCCTGTCTTACTGTGTCTAGCTTTTTAAAAACTGTTTTCTAAGGATATTGGCTTGCTTGTAATTGATGCCTCTGCTCTGCTTTTTAACACTGCTGGGTTTTTTTGGGTCTGTTTTAACCTCTCTGATACGTCAACATGTATTTGCTATCTTTATAGACATCCTGCTCAAGGCCTGCCTTCCCAGCTTTAACCTTTGCCTGCCTCTTTTAAGTTCTTCCTAAAAAGCTTCCTCGTTTTATGCAGTTGCTCCTTTTTGCTGGTAAGCAGAGCTCCGATCAGTTATTTTTGGACCTTAATGCTTATGGAAAGACACTGAACTTTATACTTCACAGTCACGATACAAAGTTGTTTTCCAAGGCTGAGTCTTTGGTCCTTTTTGCTCTGGACCAGTTTGAGAGTTTAGTCTTCTCTTGTGAGATCCCCCACTACTCACTCTGCAAAGCATGTGATGGTATTTAAAAACGTAGCCTGGGTCCTTTCCTAACGTGGTATTTGCTTTGTCTACAGGAAGATACCTGAAGTCTCACAGTACTGATGCGTTTTTTTGTTCTTAATTACTCAGCATCCTTACGCATTCAGTTACCCTGGGCAGATGATACTTTAGTCTTAATTCTGTATTTGTCCTATTTAGGTCTAGAATTACAAGCCAAGCAATTTCTATCATCATTTTAGATTTTCTTTAAAGTATAACCCCCAGTCTCCCATATCTGGTCTCTCATTTTCTTGGAATTATAACAGTAATTTAGTGTTCCATTCATAGTTTTCATTCCGCCAAATTTTGAAGGTGCCTGGTACATTAATACTGCTTAGCTTAAATGTGATACTTGAGTTCCTGGAAATAAAAAATATGCCCAAACATACATGCAATAAATGGCCTCTCAAAATGAACTGTCCTAACACCAAGGTACATCCTCAAAGAGAAATAAAAACCTCTATAAACGAGTTTACGATGCGGTGTTGTGAATGATCACCATTTTTTAACTCTTAGTGAATATTTGGTGTGTCTGAAGAGTCAGGGGAATGCCTGCATGCTTTTAGAATCATAACCTAATTGCTGCCTTTCAGCGTATTTAGCAAGAAATGTGGCGACAAGGGTGACCTTTTGGGGTGTTCACAGGCAGTTGCTAAACACCAGTGCTCTTCGGAAGTCGTTGCCTTTTTCATAAAACTAAACTGACTGTTCAACAACTGGAGACGTGCTGTAGGGAACGGCGATATACTGGAGTTGCAACATTTGAAAGCGACTTCTGGAGCTTTCGCACAGGATCCGGTATAACGGCATTAGCAATCCAGCACAGACATCTGTTAGGAATTAAGCTTTGTTTCTGCAAGGTCGTTTTTATGAACGGCTGATTTTCAAAGATGGAAGCACTGGATATAGTATAATTAAACCGATAGCTCTTACCTAAAGGAGACTATACCCCAGTATTTCTTAAGAACACATTAAGTAAAATAAGCCTAGAAATTGAGTCAAACCACAAAAAACTTTGGATGAAGTTTAGTCATTGTTTTGTTTTTAAAGAGCATCTTTTCACTGTCATGTTGTGTTTTTTTTTCCCCAGCATCTGTTTTGTTTTATTTAAGGAGGTGCCAGCAGCAAGGAACATGCTGTAATAACAGAGACCTGTGGTTGGCTGCCCGAAGCCAATTCCCAGCTCTCCTGCACTGCCCCTCTCTGTGGTGCAGAAAATACAGAAATCGCATTGATACTCACGCTGGCCATGATTATCTCTGTGGTTAGGGACTAGGACTTGTTTGAAACATCTCTATGGAGAGACTGTCTAATCCTAGTCGTTACTGAATTGTGCCTCTGTCGTGTTTCTTCTGATACAAAGAAAATGCATTCGTGGTGCCTCAAGGTTGATATTGGGGCTGCTTTTTTGCCTTAAACCTGGTGGATTTGGGTGGAGAATACGGAAAATAACCACAAAAACAACTCTGTGGGCTTTATTGTACGTAGAATCATAAATTGGCTCTTCGATGTTGCCCCATCTAGACACTCCAGGCCCTCTGTGGGGTGAATGACAGGCAGGAACTTCTTGTACTGGGCCGTGGCCTGGAGAGTAGAAGCTGAAAAAGTTCCTGCAGGCTGACAGACCGGCCTGCTGGATGGAGGGCAGAGGATGTAGCACCATCAGGGCCTTTGTTCCGACGTCTTTGTTTCCCCAGCTCTTGGGTACTGGTTATTTTGTACAGAGCGTGACCAGCTGATACACTCTGACCTCTCTCTTTCAGATTTTAGTTCGCAAACTTCCTGATGGCAGAGAACTCTGGGGGAGGATTGTTGAAACAGAAGCTTATCTGGGTGGGGAAGATGAAGCTTCCCACTCGAAAGGTGGGAAGCAGACTCAACGAAATGCGGCAATGTTCATGAAACCAGGAACTCTGTACGTGTATCAGATCTACGGGATTTATTTCTGTGTGAATGTTTCCAGCCAAGGTAAGTTGAGGCGGAAAGAGATTTAATGCCTACAGCGCAGGGCTTGCATTTCCAGCTACGCTCGCTGTGCTGCAGCCCTCTGGGCTCTGTGAAGTGGGTGACTTGCTGTCATAATCTTCCCTTGGGACCTGTTTTTTGCCACTGAACAGTGTAACCATGGACAGGCAGCGCATTAACTTCCGACTTTACAAGCAGGGCCCGTCTCCAGCTGCACAGTGACCAGCCCGGTGGGGTTTTGGTCCCAGCTGGAAGCTGCAGGAGCTGTTCAGGCACAGAATAAAGTTTGAGGATTGGAGGAGAATCTTGATAGGATGGAGCTTTCAGTTCTGATGACCCAGGCTGCTGCCTTATTTATGTGATTCACTGAACTTTGTTCCTCTAAAGTGGTAACGTAGAAATAAATTTGCAGTCTAATGACAGCCTAAATCCTGGTACCTGTCGTCATGACAAGAAACTCTTCTGATTCCTACCGTTATCTTCAGAAGTTGTAACTGCTGAGGAAGACAAAAAAGACTGAGATGTCCTAAGCTTATGCAAGGAGTCATTGTAGGAGCATTTTTGCTGCTTTATCTTTAAAAAACCAAACCACCAATCACAATACCCAGACTGTAAATACCCAGACTGTTACAGAATCTTCAACCTTCTTTAATTATTCTTAAGATAATATAATCAACCCTAATCAAAGTATTCTGGAATTTATCAAGATTCTCCTTCCACAGTTTCTCTTAAAATGCAAGTGTTACTTCTAAACCTTGGGCTTTTTCGTTCCTGTAAGAATGACAGTGTTTGCCTTGCAATAAAGCTATTGGTTACTTGGACACCTTGAAACGGCAGCAGGTATTTCGTAGATAGATATTCATTTTTTTAGGAAAAAACCCTCAGAAATACTTTGTTTTCTTTTTCACCATTTCAAAGATATAGCTCAAAAAACCCCCCACTGCTTATATATTCCTAAGTGGAAAGCAAATTTTGTAACAGTGACCATTAATCCTCAGGTTTTGGCCTTTGAACAGGAGCCAAGCACAAAACCAGCGCCGGATTATGGGGAGGGGGAAGAGCCTGGCTTTCTAAATGGAGGTCTGGAGTCTGGTGGATGAACACATGCGAATTTCATTACGTTGTCTCTGCCAAATCTGTTCAGATAATGCATGCACAATGGTTCGCTTTCCAGGCGGGATTCATTTTCAGGAGAGACTTCTTACTGTTTGAAATATTAGGAATAATTATGTTTATTTGCTGGGGCAAGAAGTCGTGGCTGTTAGTGTGTTCTGTCGAGTTCACTTGACTGACTGCATCTTCGTGTTCATTAAACTGTGAGTTGAAGGGTGGGCTCAAATATTTTTTGTCACCAAGGAAGGGGAGATCTTTGTCACACATCACTGAGATAAAGCCGCATCGTGGGGGATTTTACTGTGAGAGGTCTTCCCAGCACTGGGTCAAATCCTGCTGCTGCCTGAAGCCATGGCAGGCGTCACTACACTGGGTTTTTTGAGAAATCATAGATGGTAGAGGAAGACTTTATAGAAAAAATATAACCAGTGCCTTTCAGTGTGCATGAATCCTAGCGTATAGTCTGAGCAGCACAATAATTTTAGTACAAAGAGCTTTCTCTGGGTTTAGGAGGGACCCTCGCTTCAGGAGGAGGGTAAATGCCAGTCACGCTTCCCTTTGACTTTGCTGTGATTTGTCTCTCTGGAATTTACCAAGGTGTGCATTTTGCTGCCAGATCTGAAAGAACTTGTAAAACAGATCCTCTACCCAGGGCCAGGGTAACACTGTGTGGACTTCCCCCTAACTTTCGGGTCCTAGACGAGGACTTTGAAGGAAGCATTTCAGGAGCAGTGAGTCAGACGGGTGGAGAGAGGAGAAAATTTTCTTCTCTCCAGTGGCCAAGAGCTGTTTCCAAGAATGGGAGCTGGAGCCGTTCCAGGGAAGGAGCAGCAAGCTGCGCAGTGGGGGTGTGGGACTTCCCTATCGTTTCATGATTTCTAGCTGCTCAGCGAGAGAACTGCCCTCTGCGCTGCTGTCAGATCCCAGCTTTGAGCTCTGAATGCTGCTGGTTACATGGAGTGACTTTTAGGCATGGCACTGCTGCTGCTGGCATGTCAGCGGCCGCACCTGTGTCGGGCAGATACTAAAGGCTGCAGAGACGGAGGAGGGCAGGCTGAAGCTCTCTGGCAGGCAGGAGCTGAGGCAGAAGGATTCAGCTGCTCTTTGGTAGTTAAAAATCAAATTTCTGATGTGCAGGTATTCTCAGGAGGACCCGAGCATCAGCCCCAGGGGACAAATGGGGTCAGAGAAGGCAGTAGCTCATCACAGTTTCCCTGCACTCTTATCCTGCCAAAGCTCTTGTGTTGCTGTCACATTCAGGGGCTGGTGTCTGTTTTGCACAGGGCTGGAAGGAGCATGAAAACACTGGTGGAAATGCAGAAATGCCAGGTACCCGCTGGCACGGCTCTGCTGCTGATGCTCTGTGAGCACCTGCAGTTTCTCTGAGCGCTCGTCTCTTCCCTTGAACTCCCAAGGACTCAGTTCAATTCAAGTGTAACCGCGGTTTCCACTCACATTTGTGATGGATGAGAGCAAGTAGTGCAATTAGGGATTGCTCAGAGCCCCACAGTTGTTCCTGGCGAGTGAGGCAGCATCCCAATGCGGAGGATGTTTCTTTGTGCATGGATAAAAAGCAGAATTAGGACATGGAGCATGTTCTTAAAAATCTAAAATGACCTTTGAGTTCTTAAATCACTCTAGTCCGGGGAAGCAGCTTTTGGCTGCCAGATTAGCATCAATCCCCTTCCTTAGAGAAGGGAGTGCCTGGGAACAGATTGCTGACAGCTGTTGGAAATAAAGTCTGTTGACCTCACCGAGCTGTACTGAGGGCAGGGGGGCTCTGAGCAGGTTCAGGGCAATCGCACACCTCACAAAGCCAGAAACCAGCTCCTCGGTTGATAGTCTCCGTTGGGAGCCCAGAAGTGTAATTTAGCGTGGGATTTGTACGGAATAGGAGAGGGACTCTATTTTCAGAAATCGCAGGTCCTTAGGGATTTGTTAGTGACTACAAAAAAAGCCTTTGCTGGGCATGAGCACAGCTCCAGATGTTGGGGGCTGGAGAGGGAGGGGGGATTCTGGCGGAGCGGCACCACAGAGCACACGGGTGCTGGCAGGGGGGAATGCCGTGGGTGGCCCCAGCACAAGGCGGGCTCTGTGGGGCAGCACACAGACTGCTCCACCAGGCTTTCTCCTCGCCCACTCAAGGTCCTGAGAAGACCTTCCTTGCTGTCCGGTGGAAAAAGCCAAGGAAGTGGTTATGTCCCACTCAGGCTGGAGATCCTTGTCACAGGGGACCATCTGTGCTCAGAGACGCATCTTTGCTTCACTGAAACCAAAACCAGGGAGGGCAGCTGGTTACAATGCTCTGGGGGCCTAGAGTTTCCCAGTGCTCCTTACAGGGTGGCAAATCACATTCAAGAAGAGAATCTGTGAGTTGTTTTCACTTCTTGTCATAGAAGGGGCTTCTCTGCTGAAGTGATGCTCCCAGGACCATGCGTCCCACAGCCAGAGACCACAGCCCCATCCGGCCCCGGGTCCCCACCTTGTGACAGCTTCCCTGCCGCAGGGGCTGAGGTCGCTTTCGTCGTAGCTGTGCAGTTCCCCAAAGCCATGGTCGTCCCACCTGCCCTTACACCTCCCCAGGAGTGTCTGAACTGGTACCGCCTGCAGCCAGGGCTCCCGCAGCAGCGCTCCCAGTGCCTCCAGCTCCTCCCCAGCCTAACCCTGCAAGCTGCCTCTTCCTGCTGGCAGCATCCAGAATTGTTCCTTCTCTCCTTTGTTAGCTGGAGTTCCTGCAATCAGTTTGTTATAAATCCACGGAGTTTGGGAGCAGCTTTGGATAGCTATGCCAAAACTGAACCATATGTGTATTTATTCCTGAAGGTTGTGCTGACATAAGAAAAACTTCTCGCTGCAAGCCCTGGAGCTGCAGCTAGACTTGGTAACATCAAGAAGCAGGGTGAGGGAGAGCAAGTCAGCCCTGATGCATAAAGGACACAGACCTATAGGACACTGGACCTTCAGAAGAGGGAAGGGAATGCACTGAGCACGGGTTAGCAGCTGCTTCCAGAGCCGGGCAGCTGAAGCGAAGGACAGGCCCTGGCGCTGGGCGCTGTAGGCAATTCCCTGCTCCTGCAGCGCTCCTGCTGGTTGTGGGGCTGGAAGCTGAGATGTTCTTGACAAACAACCTTATCCTAACACATGGTTCTTGTTCTGCACAGGGGAAGGGGCCGCGGTGTTACTTCGCTCCTTGGAACCTCTTCAGGGTTTAGATGCGATGAGAGAGCTGCGCAGTGCTTCAAGGAAAGGGCCCCCCAAGGTGCTGAAGGACTGGCAGCTGTGTAATGGGCCCTCCAAGCTGTGCCAAGCGTTTGGGATTGATAAGACCTTTGACCAAAGGGACCTGACTCAAGATGCAGCCATCTGGATGGTACCTGGGCATGACCTACCCGGGGAGCAGGACGTGGTAGCCACAAAAAGGATTGGTATTGGCAACAGAGGGGAGTGGACACAGAAACCTCTCCGCTTTTATTTACGAGGAAACAAATTTGTGAGTGTTGTAGACAGGAAAACAGAGAGAGAGATGGCAGCAATGGGACACTTCTCTTGCAGCTGACAAGTTGTGCAAGTGTGCCACCAACCAGGACGTGAGCTGTGCTCTGTTCCAGAGCCTCAGGCTGTGTCATGGCAGCAGCTGGGGCACACAGAGCGGCTTGGAGATTTTTAACAATAAACATACTTTCTCACAATGAATAGGCCAAGATGGAATTTTATTTGTGGAGCAGACTGGCAGGGGTCTCCCAACCAGAACTGAGCTTGGGTTTGGATACAGAAGGCCACCTCCTTCCCCCCTGCCAACAGACGCCGGGTTAAGGAAGGTTCAGAGCTCTGCCCAGCTGTGCTGGCCCCCAGGGGAAGGACATCCCTTGGTTGCTGCAGGGGAACAGCCCAGGGACTGCATGGCAGCAAGGCTGACAGAAAGGATGGGGGCTGGGAGGAGGTCAGGGAGGGATCTTACTGTTGTTTACAACTACCTAGTGGGAGAGCGTAGAGAAGAGAGAGCCAGGCTTTTGTCAGACAGGATGAGAGGCAATGGGCACAAGCTGGAAAACAGGAAATTCTCATTAGCTGTATGGAAAAAAATTTCACCATGAGGGTGGGCAAACACTCCAACAGGGAGCCAGAGAAGCTGTGGGACATTCAAACCTCCACTGCACAAGCTCCTGAGTGACCTGATCCAACACATTTTCTTTGAGCAGAGGTTTGGACAAAAGACCTCCAGAGACTCCTTCCAACCTACACTGGCCTGTCCCATCCAGCTTAGAGAAGAAGAAGGGGTTTTGTTTGTTTTCGCAGCTGCTTCTGACACCAGTTTGAAACTTAACAGTATGTGAACCCCAGCACAGAGAAAGCATTAATACTGAGATTTCTGTAATGCTGTAGCCTGGCCTGAAGTACAGGGGGGAAAAAGAACTCTTTAAGGCAAAACCTGCAGAAGAGCGGCCATGCTGACAGCTTGAACGGTGACAGGGACACATCCCCTCCACCCTCACTTTAGGAGTCACATGCAAAGAAAAAAAGCTCATTTTTTTTCAAAACCCTTGTCCCCATCACGTGTGCCTTGCTGGTGGTAGGTCAGTTACAGAGAGCTCACGGTTTCACCCACATTGTGGGACAAGCGAAGCTGCTTCTCTCTCTGGGAGAGACCTGTAGCTTGTTTTCTAGCCGGAGAGCTTTAGCCCAGGCCAGGTTCCCAGGTGGCTTCCTTGCAGCTACAGCCACACTTGCAGAGGGAATGGAGGAAGACAATGAGCCCCGAGGGGCAAGTCTGAGCCTGCAGCACCAGCCTCCGGCCATGCCCTTGCAGCTCGGCCAGCTAATCTCAGTCCCCTCCACAACCAAGCTGCCCACTCCCAGTCCAAAAGTGGAATCCCTGAAAACCCTCAAACACAGAAGCTGCTTGGTGACAGCCACACTACAATAAACACTTGGTAACGGTACTGGGGAGAGGAAATAAAACTAACACAGTGAGTGAGTCACTCTCATTCATGAAATTCTTTACTCATGATACTTTGCCTTCTTACCTATGTCCTCATTGCTGCCAGATAACAACGATCAAACAGAACTCCTCAGCGACCAGGGACATTTCTCTTAAGCCAGGCCAACTCCGCTCTGCCCTCAAGCAGAGGCTGTGCGCGCTCTGCCCTGGGCACAGGCTGTCGCAAACGGTGCTCGTGGCTGAGTGATCCAGCAGTTGTGTTGTTGGAGAGCAGAAAAAGCACTTCTGATGCACCAGCATCCACCCAAAGGTGAAGTGCTGTCAGAAACACTGCAGTGGAAATCTTCTTGGACCACTGTCCCAAGCCCATGGTCAGGGGAGGGCTGTGAACGCGGCGCCGTGTGGGAATTCAGGCTGCACAAACACATGGTGTCCTGCAGCAGGTCCCAGAGCCCTCGCACAGACCGGCCTCAGCTGTCACCGCAGGGAGCAGATGGGAGATGGAGGCACAGAAGCGGGAGAACCTGCTCTGTGTCACATGGCAAGATGCAACTGAAACCACTTCCTGTAGTTTTTAGGCACCTTTTGGCCTATCAGTACAGAGACTGCAGCAGGTTTCCGTCCTTTGCCAGCAGAGTCACTTTAAGAGAGATTGAAAAACTGAAATCACGGGGTCCTCGTGGCTGGTCACCACCAGCACACTGCGGAACTTGTCAAACAGCATCAGCAGCTGGGAGCGACGCATGTTCTCGTTGTACATGATCTCCTCCAAATGGTGTCGGCCTCGGAAATAGTGCAGCAGCCTGTGGGGAAGGAGAGCAAGGGAGGCACGTGGGCAAAAAGGAAGTGCAAGCAGCTAGAACTGATATTGCCACTCTCAAGGTTTCCTCTCCCATGAGACACAAATCAGAAGGTGTTTGGGTTATGTCCCTCATGTATATGAAAAGTGAATTAAATCACTTCTTACCGTAGCCATGCCTAGCACAGAAATCCCCTGGAAAATCAGGGGACTCCCCCACTTGGGGGCTTTGCAAAGACCCTCCTTGTTTCCCAGCCTGGGGCATTTCCTGACACTGTCAATTTGCAACATAGTTTTAACTCCAGAAAGCAAGGAACCACAAGCGCCAACAAGCAGGACATGGCGGATTTACTTCCGCGCTTTCTTAGCTGGGTCTACAATGGCCATCATCAGAGCTCTGCATCACAGGCCAAGGTACCTACACTTGCTTTTAGAATTAAGAGCACATTTTCCACCACAGTAGCCCAAGAGACGTTGGAACTACAGGTGGTGCACTCTTGAAGTTTGGTCAGCTTGGGTTAGATGGAGCAGTCACAGTGAGGAGATGGAAATTTTGGTGACAGGCACCACAGAGAAGCTATGGGAGTTATAAAGCCCCCAAAAGAGGCCCAAAACCCTGAGGCCTAAGCTCAAACCACACTGGCTTCTTAAATTCCCAGTTCTCTTTAAACAGAGACAGCACAGGTACCCCTTTGCTGGCCACCAACACGCTACAGACACCAGCTGACCCCAGCCCTGCACAGTCAGTCACGACAGGGTCTTAGACAAACGGCTGCAGCTTCTTCCTGCAGCAAGTCCCTCAGGGCTGAGGCCCTCCTCCCCAGAGCCCCTTCAGAGCCGTGACACCACACCAGCTCTCCAGACGAACCTTGAGTTTGCTGCTCACTCCCTTAATTGTCTTAGCATCCTCCCAAATGCAGGAACCATGCCACACGTGCCACTCCAATACTCCTGCCCCTCAGGGACCAAACGCCTAAGGCCGAGTCACTTCCCCGGCCCCGCAGACAGACAGGCATCCGCGTGTGTTACACATCAGCTCTGCTTCTGCTCGTGTTTCCAAACCATCTGCACATCAGGAATACGCTGGCCTGCTGCTTCACGCCAACTGACTGTAAAAATGAGTGGAGATGACAAGATCTGGTTTCCAACTCATTCATACGGTCCTCATGCAGGAACCGCCCTCAAAAGACACCAAATATCCCTCAGAGCACTCCCGTCTGTTTTTATATGACAGCAGGATGGGGCCTCTCATGCTTTCCCTGAAGGGCCTGTCTGTCTTCTGCTGCTTGGGGTGGGCACTCCTGTCACCCGGCACCCTTCCTGGGTGACTGGAAAGGAGTCTCCTCCCCTGACACCCTCTCTCTACACCGCACAGAGCAGGTGTCCCCTCTAGCTCACTGACATTTGTGCTTCTCTGCTCCCCAATTTGCAGTGTCCCTCCCCTCACCCCAGTCTTGTTGCCCCAACACCTGTACATGGGCTCAGCGCCTCATCCCTGCAGGCAGCCCGGGGCGGTGCAGCCCCCAGCACACCCAGACCTCCTCCTGCTTTGATGATCATCTGCCAGCCCTCAAGCTGGCACTGTTACGCAGGACATAACCGCTATGTCGCCGTACCTGCAGTACAAACAAACAACAGACGGACAAGCTCCAGTCGTATTTACCTTTCCACTATCTGCGCTGTGCATTTGCCTTTCGCGGTATCTCCCAGTGGGTATTTAAATCAGGCTACTTGGCTTCCTCCCCAGGCCAATGGCAACCAGAAGTGGCCATCAGTGTCGCTTTGTGTGTACATGTGTCAAAATCAGACCATTCCTGAAGTATTAACACAAACGTCTGCATATTGTACCTTAGAACTTGTAGCACTGTTCAGAAAGTGATTCTGAAAAAGATCTTAAAAGCCACGTACTTTCTCCCTTCTACAAAGCTGCTCGCCGTGAGCGCCCACGCTCTCCCCTCCTGGCACAGCTGCTCTCTGTGCAAATGACTACGACCTGGCTTTCAACAGCAACACAGACTAAGCAGGAGTTTCCCAATAAATAAATCCATCCTATATTCAGAGAGATTCTGTATTTGTAACTGGTCAAGATGAAATACTTTCCACTCCAATAAAAGCTAGAGAGGATATTAAAGAGTATCACAAAAATGCTGGCTGGAAGACACCTCCAAAGTCAAGTCCAGCATCCTGCTCCAGCAGGACTACTGCCAATGCTGTAGTTTTTCTAGCCAAGCTCTGAAACCCTCCAAGGATGGAAATCACCCCACGTGCCTGGGACATCTGTCCCGGGCTGCACTACCCTCCCAGGGAAGAAGTTTTCCCAAGAGTCCAACTACAATCTACAAAGCTGTAACTTGAGGCTCACAGCTCCAGCGAAGATGAGCACTACCTTTGCCTTCTTGGACAATGAACATTTATAGGACCCAAATGGGACATAAGAGGGCACGTCTTGGGGCAGTAACGCTGCGTTTGAGTCCTGCTGAGATGTGTCTGCTGATGTGCACTTGCAGATCCAGATGCAATAACGGAGGATTATTGCTTTCCATTCCTCATCACTGTTCTCCCTTCTTCAAGAGCTGCCCCTCTGACAGCAATGTAGTGTTCTTAAACACTTCGATTAGTCATTGGAGTAAAATCAGCGTATTTCTGGACAAGGAGATAGCCCTTCCACCAGTACTAGCTGAAACTGGAGCAGAACTGTCCACAGCTTAGTTTCACCAATGAGCGCTCCTCAGTGGAGTAAAGGATCTGTCAGTCTTAGAGCAAGAAAAAAAATAAATCTTGAAAGCGACTCCACACCCATGGCTTGGGAGAGAAGCCATGAGTAAAGCCTCAATCCGTCTCTAAAAGCACTGGTTAATGTGCAGTGAGGAACGCTTTGTGTACATTACTGGAGATCTGGCTCAAAAAAGAACTTGTCTCCTCCTTCAGTTTACTTCTGGAAGGACCTGGCAAGCCTCCTCCAGCAGCAGCTAAGGAAAGAACCTGGATTTCAATTCCCATTCAAGGTTACAAGGGTTAATGCAGCCAATGCTGGAGCCAAGCTTCAGTATTCCTTATTTCCCCTCAAGGCTTCTGTCTTGCAAATACCAGCAGTGCATAGCAAGGGACAGGCACAAGCTCTGTCTGCCATCCGTGTAACGAACAACAGGCGCTCAGCAGCACAGACACAAGGAAATGTATTGGGCTGAACTTCACTGCTCTGCTGAAAATAGGCCACCCCTTCGTGTGCACACACAGCGACACTTGGAAGGGCAGTTGCAGTATATTTAGTGCACTCCCCGAGCGTTTATAGCAGGAGTTTGTTGTGGGAGGCAGCTGACAGAGCAGAGCTATCTTCCAGAGCACGGCCCTCATTAGGCTGCTATTCCTCAACATGAAGCAAAAAGAAGAGTTGGCGCCGTGACCTGTATTAAGGTGACGAAGAACATCAGCTCGTCCCCTGCAGCGGCATCTCCACCATCGGTTACACTTTCATTAAGAGCAATAGGTTTACCCAGACACTCATCTCGGATGGTTTATGGCACAAAAAGAGAGAAATTACACCCACAACCCCCAAGTTACGGTGTCTCATAAAGCTACCAGCAACCGAAAGCATCGTGCATAAACATTTCTATTTGTACGCTCCAGCATCCTACCCACAGGACCCATTTTTTATCGTCTCTTCTCTCTTCCTCACTGTTGACTCGGGAGTAAGCTAAGCAGCTCCATCGATGGCAGAATGGAAATTCAGACTTAGCAAAGCCATCCTGGGTGCATGAGCAAACTGCAAAATAAATACCATTCAGACAGCTGCCTGGTTAGGCCAGCTGATTTTGTGAAGAAATCAAAGTAAATTTTTGCATTTGCAATTCCAAAGCTTTCAAACAGCTCTTTAGCCAGATGAGGGAAGAGAGAGGGGAGCAATCATGAAATCCTTTCCTCTCCCTAGGACAACTAAGAATCTGCATCCCCACTGAACGGGTCCAAAGCATCTTGCTCAAATTCTGTCTTTAGATAGCGCCAATCATGATTTTGTTTTTACTTGCCTTTCTCACTGGTTTTGTAATGGCTTATCTGGTAATGAGGAAAAAAACATTTCCAAGTTCTCAAATGCCAAAGCGCTGCCTCTCGATTTAGAGAATATCCTCTGAACAATTTATAGAAAATGGAGAGGAGACGAGTAATTTGGAGAGTAGTAACTACCCACAAGCTCTATGAAAATACCTGAGCACGGCAGAGCTGCAAAGTTTGCCGCAGACAAGAGAAGCATTTTCTAGTTATTACAGTTTTTCTGGGCTATTTGGCTATATCCACCCTAGGGCAAGAACCAGGTTTTTAGGGGATTACTAAGCAAATCTGGGAAGTATATGAAAAGCTGCAGTACTTGCCTCAGGTGGTTTTCTGCTCCACAAGTATGAAAACCAGTGAAAGTTGCATTCCAGTGATGCCACTGTGTTTTGAAATGCTTAGGAAGAAAAAGAATCTCCCCCTACACCTTCTTCCCAGATGGCTCCTTAGGAAGTTGTTTCTGCTTTTGACCATGTGCAGAACCACATCTTGCGTGTTTTTGTTGTGTGGAAATTTTTTACAACAAAACTGTGTGCTACTGATCACACATCCTAATGACTTTAACCTAACGAACCTAACTTAACGAGCAGAGGATCTCTGCAAAACAGACCTTCAAAAGTTTGTAGACTGGTCTGCGGAAGTGTTCAGGCTGGCTTTGTGCCTGATACTCTTCCTCTCATATTTGCATGGAGTTTACAAACTTTAAAATAAGGGATAGTTGGCTTAGAAACACCAGTGAGCACTAAATAACATCAGCAGCACACCCGGGTCTTTGCTTTTCACGCTTAGAAAGTTTTTTTGAGCCTGTACATTTTTTTGTCTATCACATGCAGACAGAGGAAAACTGGGAAGCGAACAGCGAAGTCCCTGTTGACCAACCATACATCCTGATGCTCCTTCCCACATCCAGGATTTTTTGTTAACAAGGGTTCTTGCGACCTATATATTACTCTCTGTCCAAAATCGACTGGCACAGATGAAATATGAATAAGGGGAACAAACCCAAAAGAACTTACCCTCCAAAATCCCAAGCTAATGGGATTTTCTCAGAGTCCACACCAATCCATCAATAAACAAAAAGGGTAAGAAAAAAAACCATTACATTCTGCACTCCTCATTTCCTACCTTGCAAACATGCGAAGATCTTCTGGATTTTGGGCAGCAGGGACATTAAGGATAGCTTCCCGCTCATGTTCCAACAAGCTTGCTAGGAGATTCTCCGTCATCCTTTTATTTAGGGGTGAGTCCCCACCAGGTATCAACTCAGCACTGGAATTATCCATGCTAGGGCTTGTCAGAGTCATGTCATCGCTACTAGCTATCACGGGAAGAAAGAAAGAGACACAGAATTTTTATGTTCCTCAGTGGAATGATGCAAAGATTATCAATTCAGGCTGTTTCTATGGAGTCTTTCCAAACTGTCCCTTCGGATTTGTAAGAGAAAAGAAAGTGGCTCTCGAAAGGCTACGTGTATCTGCAATTAGTCACATGACAACGCAGCAGTTTTCTCAAAGGGAAAGGCAAGTGTTTTAACAAAGTCATCAATTTATGTGGAAAACTGTACTTCTGAAGACCATAAACAGTCTATAAAAAATACCGGAAAAGAAAATTCTCAGCCAGCTCTGCTGGAATACCGTGAAGTGGTAACATGAAAAACCTAACAGCACAGAAGGTGGGAGCAAGCAGAAAGAAAGGCCAAGAAGCAATATCCTCTTGTGACTGAGCCAGAATAAGCAGATCACAGACTCATGTGACACACATTCCAAGATTTCTGCCCTAATTCATGACTTCTGTGAAGCTGGGAGTTGTACAGAGAATGTCTTCTGATATCCAACCTCAGTGGCGTTCTGAGAACGCTGCTTGTAACAGCACAGGCAGGAAAGTTTGGGGATTTCAGCATTGCAGCTGATTTAAACTCTTGAAAAAATGCTTTTCGTGGAATCACGCTCCAGAATGGCACCGAGGAGGTTAAAGAAATCAGGAGACAAATAGAAATCAACCGTTTGTGAGAACAACAGCTAGCTCTGCATCTCCTTAGGTGGCTCTACAGCCCACAGAAACCAATGCTGTTTGAAACAAATTCTCACAATTTTCCTCCTCTCCTTAAAACCACAGCTCATGCAGTAGCAGCGGTCCAGCCAGAGGAACATGGCGGTTACTTCTGAGTAGAGCAAGGAAGTAGATAGTTTGAAAAACCAAAGCCCCTCTAACAAAAAATATTTCACATTACCAAATAAGAACTTGGCAAATTACAAAGTACTATTTCTTTTGAAAAACAAGAATTTAAGACTTTCACCAGTGCCCAGCTTTAAACTTCAGAAAGACTGGGCCTAATTAGCAAGCACTCCAGCCTTGCCAAGGCCTGATTACCCCCGGCATCGCTACGGGAAGCTCTAGAGGTGGGCTGTAGTCTTGCCAGCAGAGAAAAGCGTGCTCATACTTGGAGAACCAAAGCTGAGAGCATTGGGGGTGCTTAAACTTCGTCCTCCAACTCTGGCAGTAAAAGGCATGTCCTCATCTTGGGCTCGGAAATCCTCCTCATTCGGTGGCACCATCAGACAGACGTAAGTGTGAAGCTGAATAAGAAGCCGGTGTTGGAGCATCCATATCACCATTTGAATGAGCTGCGTCTGCAGAGTGAGAAATAAGGAATTAAACACGCATGAAATAAAATACAGGAGGAAAACAATGTGCAAAGGTGAGGCTCTGTGACTACAACGTCACAAGGAGAAATCCTTTCCACCCCACACAATGACTTTATCTCTTCTCCAACCAGAAAAAAGGTGACCAGGCAGATGTGTCCATCACATCCAAAGCCTTTGTGCATGCTCAGGCTGTGGTCGATCCTTTAATGACCAACATGTCTTCACACCACACTGAGCAGCACAGCCAGTGTCCTCAAACACACCAGCCCTGGCCCCTTGCCACAGCTCCAACGTTTGCTGGGTTCTAGCAGAGCAGATGAATGCCCTCACCACAGAACGCTGAACCCGTACAAATGTAGCCATAAACCTCATCTGGAGCTGTTCGGTCCTCTTCTAACAGAAAGAGTTTAGTAGGTGTTGAAAAAAACGGGATAGTCTTCCTCTGAGAGACAAGACACGGAAAATGAGTCAACCAGGTGCCGGCCCTGGTGCCCAGGGCCCAGCGGCGTGAGCCCTGACACCGGCTGGCTGCTTTCTACACGAGGCCAACTAACATCAATCATCACCAAAGGGTTAATCCCAGAGTGGTCAGATTAAAGTGTGGGTTCCCCTAGGAAGCCAAGGAGAGAGCAGGGTGATGGGGCAGAGCTGAAGCAACCCCAGCAGGTCCCCAGGGGCAGGAGCCGTTTGCTGTCAGATGGGAAACTGCTGCGTAACCCCGGGAGAGGCTCTGGAGACGAGAGCGTGTCGGTGCACAAATCGCACCAGCAGCAGCAGCCTTGGCAAGAGACAGCAGCCTGCCGCTGCCAGGGCGTCCCCTCTCAATGCAAAGGTTCATCTCCCCCCGCTTTGCTCACCATCCCTCTGCAACAACATGACAGGCCAAGCTTATAAAGGCACCTTGGTTTTTAGGGTGCAGACAAGCAAGCGTTTGAAAAGCACCAAGAGATAAGGCTCACCTTAAACACGCACCACACCTTTGTGTTACAGCAGCTGGAGACCTGCACAAGTCCCCAGAGCGACGCGAGGGACAAGTGTCTGTAGGTTCTGGGCATGGCCTACGTTCAGGAGTTTTGGAGGAGTTCAAAACACATCATCCTGTCTGAATTTCTGCACAAAAAAAGGCCTTTTCCTATCACTGCAGGCAACTCTTCCCGTAGCTAAAGGCTCTGAAAACACTGATTCACTGACAAAAGCTGTTTGGGGATTTCATAGCAACCAAGACTGTTTTGGTGAGAGAAACACACGCACAATGAGCTCAGACTCTGAGAGGGAAGCTAGCTCTGCTGTATTAATCATCAGGATAACGGGCCAAATCTCAATAAAAGCCCCAAACCCAAGTTCATCAGCCCACATAATTTTCCTTTTTCCATCAATCTTATAATTCTCAGTTCCTCCGCTGCTATCAAATCGCAAAAGAAACATCTTCTGTTTGCAGACAGACCCACACCCTGTCTTTTCAGGGATTACCACTTTTGGGGCCTGAATGGATTTTAATCTTAAAACATGTTCTCTGGGATCGCCTTCAAACATATCTTCTTTGGAAAAGTCATAATTCATTTTACATGTTTAATAGAAAATCTACAGAAGAGGAAGGTTGGCAAAAGATACCAAATGCATAGTGCTTTGCTAGCATCTCAAATCAGCCTGGAGCAGAGAGGAGGCTTATTCCAGTGATTACATTGCTAAAAACCTTCCTTCCAGATGCAGGCCTGGAGGGAAAGATGTCTCATATATTTCACTTCAATTTCCAACCTGTTGGCACACAGCAATGTCTGATTAACTAGCTTCACATCAAATAAAAGGCATCTGCACATTTCACAGCACAAAACAACCCTGGAAAAATCCAAGGCAATTCACAGAGACAGTAAGACAGGCTCTACCAGACCTGCAGAGTCTGCCAGCTGGGGCCTGGACTCCACCAGTCTCCACTGGTCACTTTGGTGGTTTCACGAATCAGGAAAATAGCCACTTGCTTTTCTTACAGCTCCATGTGCGTGGCAAGTCTTATCCAACACTCTCTAATGGTGCACACACGCCTTCACCTCCACACTCTCGTGCAAGTATCTAGAAAGCCACTCCTGGGCCAGCAGCTATGGCTCAGTGGAAGAAGGAGCCAGGCAGAAGCGGTGGTTCAGCTTTTCAGTCCTAAAGTCGTAGAACCAACGACCGCCAGATGCCTTTATGCCCTGCAGGGGAGAGCTGGACATTGGCTGGGACTAACTTGAGAACTAGAGAACGTGGTTCTTCCACACTGAATTGAGCCTGAACAATCATCCCTAGAGAAGAGATAATGATATTCACTGTCAGTTGTCTATAATAAGCCAGTCTTCAGTGGGAATTTGGTATCTCTTAAAATCTAGTCCTAGAAAAAGAGCCCAGACGATGCAGTGCTGGTGCCATGCCCCAAACGGCGTGCTCTGTGCGATCACCGCAAACGTGCCTCACGCCATTCTCACTTTTTGCAGGTTTAAACCTATTTCTTACCAAAGGCAGCAAGTGTTTGCACAGATAAGATCTAGCAGCAGCTTTGCGAATGTGTTCTGCTGCCTGTCCTTCTGGACACAAACACTGCACTTACATCCCTTCTCCATCTGCTCCTCTCGAGCTCGGCTGGAGCTCACAGACAGGTCTGCTGGAGAAGAGGCTTCCCTGAACCATCTGTGCTGTGCTGGCTGTCGAAAACGCTCTTTTTTTCTCCCTCAGAGACATGGGGTTATCTTCATGCTTGATCTCAATCTACTTGATTAACTGGCTCCTTGCTGAAGCCAAAAGGGCTGGGAGTAGCTTCCCAGGCGAGGGTACACTTCAGTCCCAGCACTGCCTCCACTCACTCAGTCCTCATCTGGCACAGTAGGAGCCCACAGCCAGCCGTTTCTTGGCTGGAACACCAGGACCGTGACAGAAATATAAAACTGGAACATTTTTCATCGCTTAATTTAATCAACTCTAAATTTCATCCATATTCCTTTCATCCTTCCCGTCTCCCCGTGCTGCCTCTTTCCAGTCTGCAGTGAGAGGGTCCTGTCTGCCGCAGCATCTGCAACGCTCCCGCTGGCACAGAGCCGCCCGCGGCCGTCCCCTCCTGCTCCCCGCCCCGGGCGAAGTCGGAGCGTGTTGTCACGCAAGGCGTCACGGAAGGCGTTGGCAACAATACATGGCTTTGTGCTTGCTGACAAAAGCAGAGAAGATGTACTAGCTTCGGAAAACACGTCGGCCCATCTGGGCACTTTGGGACAGTCAAGGGAAAGCTCAGGCCTGAGTCTTGGAGGGACAAGGTCCAGCATTCATTATTCTCTTCCCTCCGGGAACCAAAGGGGGCATTTGTAAAACTCTCAAGTAACATGTTAAATAAAACGCATTTCCTGCAGGGATTCTTTGAGGCTGTTTTCTTTCCTAGGTCTAAAAAGCTAAGGAAAATGCCAAGGTAACTGGGACCAGCAACAGGCTCAGGAAAGGGAAAACAGCAACCCAGAAGCGCTCAGTTAAAGCACAGCTCGTTTCGCCCACTGCATTTTAGGAGCCTCCCTTCTCCAATCTGGATTATCTAGTTATTTGACATATGCATTCTTCAAGGTCTGACGAGAACTAAGGGCTGCTTTGGCTCAGGGTACCCCTTGCTGAGGTAAATGGATGTTTGCTGAAATGTATTACCTTTCTTCATCACTCAAACCGCCCTCTTTTATAAAAAATAGATCAGCTATTACAGCTTCTCCCTATTTTACATAAAACAGACTCTGAAGACCCCTATTAATGTAGGACAAACCATTTACTGTCTTAATATTGCCTTTTTAATCATTAGGCAATAGCTTTGAAACCTCAATGATTCCCTCCATTTAGGTCTAGAAAGACGTGGTTTTTTAACTTGCCACACTAAAACCACCTGATTTTATACCTAGTCCAACTGAATATAAATGCACCTTAACACTACTTTCATACCCCTGCCAAGAAAAGCTCCCGTGACTCTTAATGCCTTCCAGATGCCCAGCAGAACAGTCTCATGTCTCTCAGAGGACAGAACTGCCTCTTCAGTATTTGCATGCAGCTCTCCTCCCACTCCCATCCCCTGACACCCCTGCTCATTTTCCACCCAGCTATTACACAAAGCGCAGCACGTTTTCTGAGTGCTTAAGGCAGAAGTCTCGTCTCCCCGGTGCCTTACTCCCAACAGGACGGCCAGACTTACTAAAACAGAAGTGAAAAATCAAACGTATTTTGTGCAGTGGCAGCTGTCATGCTTTCCTATCTGTTTTTTTATCACAGTTATTGTCGCCCCATCAAGGGAGAATTAAGTAACTACAATATTAATAATGTGTATTAAGATAAAGAGCTACTTTAGTGAAGGGAGGAAATGGGATGTCTAATTCACCTTTTAGTTCACACTCCTTCTACCTTAAGGGCGCAAATATCTCTCCTGCTCCTCCACGTTTGCTCCTCAACACAGGGTACAGATGTTGTAGGTTCTTCCGAAGCAGATGAACTAGCTGAGGCCGTAACGCACAGACGAAGGGAAGCCACAAGCACTATCCCTTTTTCTTGCTTTGCAAAGAAACTCAGCGCAGAGTAGCTGGGTGAAGAAACGTTGACTTCCAACTTGCGCTTGGAAAGCCAGTTAAACATTCCCATGTGCAGTGCCTAGCACACACAGTCTCTCCGTGGATGTGTCCTGACCTAAAGGTTTTAGGTCACCAAGTGCTTCTGTGCTTCCACAGGAGGTTCTGAAGGGGCGTGCAGCACACTGAACACCGCTGGAACTCCACCCTGGTGCGCCCTGCGGTCACATCAAGGCTGTGCCACACGCGAGAGGAGAGTGCAGGGACAGAAACCAACAGTCGCAGGCAGCAGAAGGCAGGACAGCTTCTTTTGGTCAGGGTAGAGGACATGCAAACTGGGTCTTTTCCAGCAAAAAACACTAAAAGGAAGGATGAGCTAAAGTGGTTGCTGTTGAGGACAGTCCCAGGCTGCACTGGAGTGCTGCAAGTCTGGGCGACACCACAGGGCACAGTGGAGACAACTCACAACCATGAAAATGAGGAAACAGCTGCTGCTTTCCTCACTCGTGTCCCCAGCTGCAGCAGCGCCCCTCTCGTTCTGAGCCAGCCGTGGAGCGTGCTGGCTCCCTCCCTGAGCCGATTCCACCTGCGAACCTGGCAGAAAACTAGTGCAGCTGCAGCAAGTGAAGTGCATGGAGTCAAGTTGAACCGGAGCCAGAGCTCCAGCCCAAAGGGAAGCGGGAAAGGAGGAAGGCGCGTGTGCACACACCTGAGAGCGGGAGGGGAAACCAAGGCCTCCTCTCAGCAGCACCAAGGTATCGTCAGATCAGCTGAGCCGTAGGCATAGGCTCAGCCTCACGCTGCTGCAATGCTGTTACGCAAGCAAGGCAGGTTAAACCCGGGGAAAGGGAAGCTAGAATAGAGATCACCACACGAAAAACAAAATCTCTTTGAATTTTAAGCACAAGACCGCTGACAGATATAGAGCCACCACGGAGTTCAACTGCAACACAGTGCTCGTCATCCAAGATAACAAAAGAGATCAAGGTGACAGGCTCAGGAAGAATTCCTGCCTCTAGCACGGGGCACGGCTGAGAGCGCTGCCAGCCCTGGCAGACGCCGCTGACTGTGCGTCTCCAAACCACCTGACAGACAGACACCAAAAGCAGAACGCAGACACGCACACCAGCTTTCAAGCCAGTCTCGTCCTTGTCCTTGCTCAGGGTATTGCAGGATGCTTGTACCTCCCGCCAGCCAAAAAGTGTCACAGCACCCCAAGTATAAAGATGCCAACATCACTTTTTTTTTTAATCTACCCAAAGGGATGGAGCAATTCCACCCATGTAACAGAAAGCAAACAAAAATAACTTCCATCCTCTTTCAAACCAAGCAGTACAACTTTGTATAAAAACAGGAGGAAGAGCTTTCTAACAGCTTCCCTATTTTGCATCTTGGACTTTTTATTAATGCCTTCCGTACTCCCTGCCCACCCAGAAGCACATCCCAAAAGGACGGAGCCAATCCCACGCTTAAGAAAAGAATCAAATGGGATGGATGCCATGAGACCGTAACAGTTTCTGCAGAAAATACAGCCCTTCCCACAGTACTGACCTTCTAGCACCGATGACCTTCAGAAACACAGAGACAGTACAGTCAGCATGATGAAAATCACAAGGTAACACGCTACTACCGAAAATCTTCAAAGAACCCGCCCCATTCCACCGCAGGTACACAAAGAAAGCGAAAGGTCCCAACTTTGTTAATTTTTTCCCAAAGGCAAAGCAAATGTGATTTGACAATATTTACAGTTCAGAGTACAAGATCTTTTATCAACTGCACAGCGGAACAAAAATCTACTCACATGTTACCAGATTAATTGCTCTATCGACCAGATCTCTGCTAATTACAACTGAAGCCTGACCACTTCAGGAAAGGGGCTGGATTAATCTCTCTTAAAAAGCTAGCGCCTAACAAAACATTAATACGAAGAGCTCCGCACAGGTAAATCACAGCAGAAGAAAATGCACGGGTATGAAAACATTTAAAAACTCTCTGTAGTCTAAAATTCCCCAAGAACTGCCACGCTTAGCTTCACAAAAAAGAAGTCTGCCGTGATTCCAAGCAGCCCACCAGTGGTGCTCTCCGTCTCCACATGCGTGTCTTGCCAACATGGCCCTGAGCCTTCTGCAACCACAGTTTTCACCCCCCCTTTTCAGAGCGTAGAAGGCACTTCTGTAGCTTTTCACAGCATCATCCTTCATTTTTCCACACACGGAAAGGATGATGGAAACAAGCCGTGCTGTTGATCTTCAGGACCCCATCACAGACAGGTGAGCACCAGAGAGAAGGCTCTAAAAGAGCTCTGGCAAACAGACACTATTTGTGTATTTTAAACGAAAGCAGGACATCTGAGAACAACCAGAAATGCTGAAGAAGTATTAAAGCAAGTAATTAATTTCAAAAGAAGTACTGTGAATACAAATGCCTCCTGAAGGTACTGCAGCTTGAATAAAATCAGTGCCATTAATTCAGCCTCAATTTTCAGGACACTGATTTGTCTGTAGCTACAAGTGAAGTACTGACAAAGCAGTAAAACTGCTCTCCCATGCCTCCCAAGGTGGCAGCTGACCAGCACATACTGTTAGGACCAGACGCTACATCGTTACTTATCTTTATCTTTGATCATAATCTCTGCCAACCTGTAATTACAACAAATTCTTCTCTCAGAATTGTGCCCGTCCGCGCATTTGATGTTAATCTTCCAGGAGTGTGAACAGGGGCTAAATTCATGTAGCCAGCAAGTCATCCAAGTATAAAGGCTAGAAAGCAACACAAAAAACAGCTAAAAAAATCTGCCTATGCTTCCTTTGCCACGATAAGCTGTGTTCAGAGGTCCCAGTTTCTTCATTGGGGAATAATAACAGCGTCACCCAGGAGACCTCACATTATTGAGCTCTTTTCTTGCATTTCACCAGCTCCCAGAAATGCTGCAAGCCATGATCTGCACGTAAGCAAAACAGCTCACAAATCCCAAATCCGTGTGTTATTATCCCAAATCTGAACATTAAAATGCTAATGCTGTAACACATGGAATTCTGTTGAGTACACTGCTGAGTACACTTCCTCTAACAGCCTTTAAACAATTCCAGTTTCATAGCAAAAGCTAAGTGAATAGACAGTTTGCTTTTCAAACCAGATTGTGAACTTAAACCAGATGCAATGCACTAAAATTAAATGTGATTGTGAGGATTCCACAGCCCTACTAATTTATGACAGTTTTCAACGGACCAAATGGAGCTTCAGTTTTCTCTACTCTGTCACTCAAGGAAAAGAAATATTCTGATTTTTCTTTTTTTAAAGTTGTGCACAGAGCACCCACAGAGCCTCACTATGAACATCCCCACAGCTTTTTGGCATATGGATGTGAAACTACAAATCATATGGTTGGAAACACAGTAACTGGCAACTTGTAAACCTGCAATAGCAGGTTCCTGACTAGGTGCTCCAGAAGCAATATCATCCCACATCCTCACTAGCCGGAGAGCTCTTGTACACGCCCCATCTCACCTCCTGAACGGGCGGCGCGAGTGGGTTCTTGAACTCTGAGAGTGACACGGGGAGGGAGAACTTGGAAAGCATCGACGGTAGGTTGTGGCCTCGGAACTGACAAGAAAACGCATCTGCTAACGGAGAATAACTGCAGAAGAGAGGTAAAGGCAGAAATCAGTTCTATACTGACGGTCAGCATAACATCTATCCTTTTAAAAAGAAGCGCAATTTGCAAATGAAACATTCTTTGTGATCTAGAAAACCCTTAAGGATAGTTTACGGCATGTTGTGTCCTGCAGAGGTAACCCAGAAGCATACGCATTTTCACCTTGGCCTTACATTCAGCTCCGGTACATAATTCAAGGTGTGGAGGGAATCCAGAGAAGAAAAACAAAAATGATAAAAAGCCTACACCTGCATGGTCTCTGATTAAAGGAACAGGGCCTGGGCAGTCAGAGAAGACAGGCACGGGCAGGATATACATGCAGTACTCTGAATATGCAAAATGAAGCTGCAGCTATGGCTGTTCTCCCTGCCTATGCTGACAGAACAAGCAGTATGACTGATCAGAAGTAAAGGAGATTCAAGTTAAATACACAGAAAACTGCCTGTCTTAGGATTCCCATCTAAAAAGGTCTTCAGGAACAGCACTGCCATGTTGTTTCTGAATGATCTCAAGGTGCCTTCCAGCCCTATTTTTATACTTCCATCACAGAAGTTTTGATTTAAAGTTCTGATTTAAAGCAATCTTCCTATAACCAAGTTCCAAGACAGATTCTAAAAACCTCACTAAATCCAACACAGAAAGGGCTGCCAGTCTTCAGCAGAGCACAACCACCCACCGCTGCCCCCACACCTTCCCTGCACTGCCGCTGCCTGCTCTCAAAACGGCCGCGTTGCCTTCTGTCTGTGAGAGGGCACATCGGTACGAAACGTCATCAGATGAAACGGTGCAACAGCCACAGCAACACAAGCCTGACTGTCTGACTTGGGATTAGTTTCACGTGATGCTGTGTGCCAGATACACAGATAGTCCTATGAAACACTCAGTTAGCTGACTTCATCATCAAGGTTTTGGTTCAGGCTCATATACCTTTTCTGATACGGACATTCAGTGAGCAAGTGTGCTAAAAAATACTAAAAAATACTAAAAGTAGCCTCACAGGGTAACTATTGCTTTCAAATCTCATGTCACTACAGAAGGATATTGATCTGCTGCGATGCTCCTCCTTTGGACATTTGCACATGTAATGCTTTGTGTTTTGTCCAACGTCAAGGAATCCACGCGTGAGGAAAGATCTCACTCTGTACCCAGGAAAACAGGGAAGGAAACCTTATCTGCACTTGTCACCCCTTTATTGCTACCATCACGCAGTTTCCTTCTACTTACAGGCAGACGCTGGCGTTTGGAGAAAGCATGTAGACATTGTTTTCACACAGCGGATAAATAATAATTGCTTTTCCCCAGTAAACGAGATGTGCAGCAAGCTGGAAAACCTGCGTTGAGAAAACATGGAAAAATTAGGGGAGAAAAGGAAAACTTAAAACTCTCAGCAAGGGTTCCACACAATCACAGAAGAGTCATGTCTGAGCTGAAACGAAAGAAAAATGTTCCATCCTTTCACCCTGCCTTTGGAATAAACTCGCAGCTTAATATAACATGTGGCACATCAAAAAGCATTTGTCAATGTTATGAATTCCCAGGGGTTTGCTTCACATTTTGAAGCAACTTAGTATTTCCTGCCTTAAAAGAACTTCTTCATACATTATCAACAGAACTTTAGTTACTTTTCATGCCCCCCGAAAATATTTTTGTTTCTGCACAAAATGCATTAAGTGTTATACATGAAAAATAAAACGAAAGAATCATCCTCTACTATGACACAAACAAAGGAAACCAACACTGCCTGTTTAATGCATTTAGGTATTTCAGTAATGAGTTACATGATGTATTTTAATGTGTTAAACAAGTCAGTGGTTGTTAATGCCTCTGCAACAGCCACATAAATAGCATCTATGAGACATAAAATCCAGCCTGCATCATTATATGCATTTAACTTTGCTTTTTTGTGGAGAACAAAACTACAGAAGCAGTAGGGAATTTCCAGAGTTCATCCCATAGCTATATAACGCCAAGTAACACCACAGATCACCGTAAGCAGACCTGGAAGGAAAACAGGAGCTTTCCCTCTGAGTAAGAGAAGGTGTGGACCTACAATTAGGAGTATCTGAGCTGATGCCCTCTGACACCGAGCACAGATTGCGTCCCCGGGTCCGAATCAACCCTGAGAAGCACGGAGTGGGCTCTTCCCTCCCCCTTATCATCTAATAACATCGTCAGGCCCGACAAGCCAAGGGCCACGACGACCACAGTCATCCCCAGCGGTCTCTCCACGGCCTCATGTCGCACGGGATTGCCAGAGGCTCAGTCCCTCCACTCGCACAAACTCTCCTTTCAAAGGCTCAGCCCAGCACCGCCAGCAATTCAGATCTGAAATCTGGTTGTTGGTACTGGAAAGGCATTTGGAAAGAGCTACTGGCTGCGAGAGACTGCCTCAAAATTTTTGCCCAAGTTTAAACTGGAGCTTCTTCCTGCGACTCTGCAAAGCCCGTGCACTAACGTGCTACGGGAGATCGATAGGTAGGTTTGCACAGAGGTCTTCAGCAGAAAACATCTTGGCAGATCCAGGGGAAGGAACGTGTTTGGTCACGGCAGCTGTAACCTTCCACTCGTGCTCTGGGTGCCTCCCTTTGCACACAGACATCAAGGTGACAGAACCAAGACAGACCACTGTGGTGTAATCCAGCAGTTCTGTTTGTTCTGGTTCTACCTACCCAACGGAAAGGCACAGAGAAGACAGAGTCTCTCTTCTCAGAGGAGCACAGGGATGGAACGGGAGGCAACACACACAAGGCGGAAGATGGGAAACTCCCATTAGATATGAGAAAAGATGCTGGTCAATGCTAGGCTGGGGCCCAGAGAGGAGGCATCCCTGGAGGTATTCAGGGACAGAACGGACAAGTTTCCGCGCAGCCGGCCTTAATCACAGAATCACAGAATGTTGGGGGTTGGAAGGGACCTCAAAAGATCATCTAGTCCAGCCCCCTGCCAGAGCAGGATAATGGACTTGCTCTGAGGCGCGGTGTGGACTAGAGACCTCCAGGCACTGCTGCTGCCCCACAGCAATCTGCGATTTGGATGTGGCTGCACGACTGTCGAGCATTGTCGATGGACCCTCTGTCTTTCTGTTTTCCAGTCTTTCCCCATGCTCTAAGGCTGGTGCTTTCTCTGCTCACACTGAGAGACTCAACATGCTCACGGACCACAGAAACCCACTGGCACACAGAAAGAAAACACCTCGTGATTTAAAAGAATTTCAGGTGCCGCTGAGAGTTCCCCGTACCTGCAGCAATGCCAAGTCAGCATCTTGAGCCAGTTGCTGCAAATTCTTCACAGCAGAGGTAGTTTTAATTACTCTCACCAGGGCAGGAGAGCAGTCCAATGGGAGCTCATTAAGCAACGACTTCTCATCATTTAAAAGTAATAAGGCATGGTATGGCCTGCAGAAAAATAGAATACATTTGCACAGTACACTGGAACTTTTCCTGAAGGCTTAGATATTCCCAGATCATGAAACCTGAGGCCAATCTACTGGTAAAAAACAACTTCTACTAACATTCTTTTGCTGTAAGGGGGTTCAGAATAAGCTTATTTTTATGTCACAGGGTAAGATGCTCCCTATAAAAAGGGGACAGAGGTAACTGGATGGCTCCAGTGACCAGGGAAATCAGACTGCACTGTGCTGGCATGCAACTCAGCCTGGAGAAATCTGCTCATCTGCATTACTAAAATCCAGAATGGAGCAGAAGAAAGGAAGAGTTAGTTACTTTTGCAGGTAAAAAGCTTTAAACATGGAATGCAAGAAATAAGGTATCGCAGGGCCTAGGCTGTCTTTCTTCTAAAAGCAAAATTAGTCCTGGGTCGGCAGATTAAGAGGAAAGTAGGATTCGTCTGACTGGAAACAGCGCAGCCCTCTCTTGCAGCATCATCTCAGTAAACCGCCCAGCGTTAAGGTGAAGACTGCGGCTTCACGCCACCACGTAGCAGCGGCATCACGGCGCCAGCTTCAGGGAGTCCTGTCTCAGCCTGTGCCCCCACCACCGCTACTGCTGAGTGTCACATCGTCCCTCCAGCTCCGAAGGACAGAGCTTGCTCTTACCTGATAGATTTCAGGCTTCTCTCAATTGCTTCAGGAGGTATAAAGTTTGTGGCAACGTAATGGATTTTGTGAGGCAGGCAGAAACTCACTTCCAGCCAGTTGTTGATATGTAAACGGACCACCCCCGTTGTGCAGAGACTAAAATAAGAAGAAAATAAATACATACAGAATTTACTAGGTATAACAAATGAAAGCAGTGGTCCAGACTCACCCCTGCACAGAAACATATCAGGACAAGAAAAACCTGAATGCGCCCTGTCTATGCCCAGACTGGCTGAGCACCAGCTGATTCCTAGCTGCAAGGTCTTCCTGAACTTGTACGTACAGAGCATTATCCCCTACGAGGCTCCAGGGGGATTTGAAAGACTCCAGCCCACTGATCTTCCGCTTCCTCTGCTCTCAACGTTGCAGCAGTATCTCAGGTTAAAAGACTTCCTGGAAGATCTGCTGCAAGACACTGGAAAATTTCCTAGACCACAGCCATGAAGGGCAAAGGTGAATTGGGCACATGTTTTCACCTCCAATGTCCATCTTCCTCTCCAAGGAGAAAGAAAAGGAGATGTCTGTGCTGGGCAAGGGGTGTTACGAGCAGCACATTTCTACAGTAACAAACTCCTTCGGTTCTGCTTAGGTTGTTTGTTTCCACTAACCTGCTCCTGCTTGTTACATGAAATTACAAACGGGCTCATAAAGTGGTTTCTTCATTCTAGGAAGCCACAAGGACTAAGCTAAGCCTTTAAGCTGACTTCAGACAACAAGACTGGAGTGGAAGTGATGGGCAGACAGAACTGACAATGAAGTCTGACCCTGGCGCTCAGCCTGAAGCAACTATAAGCCTCTTTTACTGAAAAAAAACCCAGAACATAAAGCTGGGAGATTAGAGCAACCAACGTCATGCAGGTAGTTTTACACAAGTCCATAAAACTAGACAACAGATGAAATCTATGTGGGTAACTAACTATATTTACTTAGAAATGGGTGAAGATACCATAAGGGTAACTTACTCTAAGGAGCTGAGCTGGCACCACTTTGCAAACCTTCACAACGCTGCCCAGCCTGCAGGCACGAAACGCCGGCTGGGGAACAGCTCTGCTGGAGGCAGAGGGGCTGGGTAGGGAGGGAGAGGCAAGGCCCACCCCAGCTTTTCACGTGTACTGAGTTAGGAAGGCTCACAAACTTGCAAATCAATCTGAAGCGACGGCTAATGCTGCCTACACCAGAGAGAATAATTTCTCAGCATGTCCTTTGATTTTAAATCTCTTTCCAAAGAGAGGTTTTTTGACCTAAAATAGAATTTCAAAGTTTGCACTCTGAAAATTCCAGTCTGAATTTCGCATTCAAGTGTGTCGAGACTTGCAATATGACTTTTGTGTCAGTAATACCCACGAATTTCCCCTCTAAACAAAACAGACTGAAAAACATGTCAGGGACAGGCTGGGAGCAAACACATGTCTTGGAAACTCTTTATGTGGTGATTTAAACATTTATACCGAGCATTCAGTCGTAGGCCACAAACTACCTTGCTCTTTTGCAAGTTCATCTAGTTGGATACAGCGTTTAAAGAGACATGAAAATTCAGCTTTAAAATAAAAACACTGGGTAGCTTTAGCTGCCGGTGTAACTATTCGCCAAACCACAACAGAGTGGTGGGAGAGCAAACACGATCCTGTCCTGCCTCGTGCATCATCAGGCTTATTAGGGAAAATCTCACTGCAGACAACATTTCCAAAAGCAGAGGCCATGGGTTTGCTCTCAAATCTTGCACTCACCTCCAAAAAATACTGATTTTTCAAGCTGCAAATGGAGCAGACACTATACATGTTTCTCTCTTTTTCAAAAGGAACTGTCTCCCTGGCGCTACCACCTCACGTCTGACCAGAGGCTCCAAACCCTGGAGGAATATGCAAAGCAGAGCAAACTCCTCCGTTCTTCTCGCGTTCAACACTGCAACTGCAGCAGCACTGCTGATCCCACCAAACATACAGCCACTGACGGATAAAGCCGGATTCTCTCAAAATCCACGGAGGTAAAGTGCATGCTGAAGCAGCGGGTGCTCACGCTATCTACCAGGCCAAATACTCACCGGGGAAAACATGACAAGAAATGAACGGCACAAGTGAGTTGAGAGACTACCTGAAAGCTACTGGGGTTGCTAAAGCAGGTAACTGAAAAGAAGCAGAGATGCATGAAAACGTGAAACACTTGCAGGGATATTTTCCCTGCACAGTGTAACAGTCAGGAAATAAACAACAAAAAAAATACAGTTGGTTCCTTTCATTCTTTGGTCCAAGCGCACCAAAGCAGAAGCTTTAATTACATAATTACACTCTCCACAGCATAATTTTGTCTACAGTGTGCTACACAACAAGAGCCTAGAATTAAAGACAAGAAAACTAGATTTTCAGTTCTGATCTGGATCTTAATTCTTCCACATTTGCATTCAACTGCATAATTTCAAGCCTTCATTACAGCTTTATGGCCACGATTTCTCCTACACCTGCCCCTCCTTGGATGGAAAATAATTGAAGTCTCTAATAATTTGACAAGGAACACGCAACATCCTCCAGCAGCAATGTGTGTGCTTGCCCTTAGCCTGCCAGAGTTAAACAACTTCACCAGTACACACACAAAAATTCACTCAACATGAAATATAGTCAAGTCTCAGAAAGAGAGGTCTGGATCCGTATTTGCCTTCATTTTTAAAGATTCCCTGTGAAGTGATCTGTTTCATGAGTTTTTTACTGTGAGCCTCACAAATCTCCCTGAGCTGGCCCCAAGCTCTTTGGCTGGCGACCAGCAGACTCAGAAGCCACCTTCTGTTACGGGCAGGAGCAGAAGAGCAAAAACCAGCAACAGGAAAGAATACCCAGAAAACAAGTTTTCAAAGTCGTATCAGGGAGTCACCTAGCTCGAGTTCTACTTCACTCTTCTTAAGCAACTAAAATTGTGGAACAAAGAGTTTGGGAAGATGCGGCTGCACTGAACATCACAAATCTCAGGGACAGGGTTTAAGTAACCCCTGGCAGGAACCCCAGAATTGCACAAAGATTCGAAGGTGCGGGAGGTACCCCGGCGATTTACAGAAGACTCTCCTTTGTTCTCTGCTCCCTTTCTACTCACTCTTTACATTTTATGGGGCTTTTTGCAGTGTCACTGCATCCTGAGCTTTTTCCCTGAGATGACGTTAGCACTGAACTAGTAGCTGTAATTCCAGAAGCTCTTTTTCAGAGCAGTTATGTACTACACAAGGGCTGTTTGACCTTCAGTGCATTACTTTCGATCTGTCTGTACTGAACTGCTTCTGCTGTTCTATCAGTTAGCTGGGATCCAGAGACCTTGCTGCAACTTTTCCTTTTTCCCACAGACTTCGAGAGTAACTAGGCAAAACCAGCTTCATTGCCCATGCTGTAACTGGCTAATAAAACCTCAGAGGCGTTCCATTTGATCCCAGGAAACCTTAGTTTCAACAAGTTTTTAAAAAAATTGATGGTTAGATAATACATGATGAGCAAGTCTGAGGGAGACATGGTGAGGGGGAGCATAGTCTAAAACTGAGACAGGGAGAAGTAAATAGGAAAAAGCTGTTTAACATCTCTCCATCCTAAGAGACCTCTGAGATATCTCATGATACTAGAAGGAGAAAAGTTCATAAGAAATAGAAGGAAACGCAGAAATTAGTTAAGCCATGGACCTCCTTATCAGAGGATGCTGTGGTTGTTCAGTATTTACTCTGGCTCACAGGACTGTGGACTAATTCCGGGAAGTGAGATCAGCTGAAGGCTGCTGAACATACAGAAGCTGTCTCCAGAGAGGCAGGAAGCTGGGAAATATTTTTTTGGAAGTATCACTGCTCTTTCGCACTTATCTGCTCTGCCCTGAACAGCGACTGTGAGTCACTCCAAAATGGGAACCCAGAAGCCGGCCAGTTAACTGCAGCCTTCTTGTTCGTACCTCTCGGCAAAACGAAGACAATCTCACCCCGTATTTTATAAAAGAGTTAGGACTTTTTACATATACACACCTCATTTCATGTCTCTCCTATTTATATCAGAAATTAATACATTTTCTAGTTTGGTGGAGGTGAGCTTGCAGCTTTGGAGTTTATTTTGCTAGAGGTTGTGACTACTTAGAGCTTTGACGTGATTTCACATTTCCTTGTAAAGGACACATTGAGCATCCTTTGACCAACTAACCGTAGTTGGTTAGTATTTTACAGGACAGCCACACAAAATGCATAAAGGCTCTGTGTGTATTAATCTAATCCTCCCCCAAATCCTCTCATACTTCCACTTTTATTCCAACATAAAACTAAGAGAAGTTTGAAAAAAACAGACAGGCAGTTAGCTAGCATTGAACTAACCTATTATTTACAGTTGCAGATAAAACTTGGTGAAAATTGTCTTAATTCCCAAAATTGAACACTGGCTTAAAAGAGTCGCCCACTGTAACACTGAGAAATTTGTCAGTGCTGGAGGTAGTGGCTAAAGGACTTTCTTGGTCCTAAAGCCATTGTGTTTTGTTCCACACGCGTGCTGAAGTTTGAGACAAGATGAACAAAGACTCTCAAATCTATTTTCTGAACCAATCAAAAATAAACATTCCAGTTTTCTCCACTGCAGTCAAAAAACAGTTCCAGGAACTAGATGTTGATGACCCCTAAACTGTCAGTTTGATAATATTCCATTATTATAGCAGCAAGAGTATTACAGCCAAGATGACCTAGCTATTGATTCCTGCCTTACAAAACGCAGGCATTTCATTCAAAATACACAAAGGGACACTTTGAACTGCAAAAAGATTCACACGCTTGTGGTTTTGTACAAACAAACTTGCTAAGGGACATGTCCGGTCTTGCCTGAAATGCCTCAGCACCATCTACAGGAAACCGAGGGCCAGGCAGAACCTCAGGAGCCACCCAGGTAACTCGCTCAGGAGGCAATTCCAGTCAGAAATCAGCAGACACTAGGAAACACTGGCTTGAGGGAATCTCAGGTGGAGAGCTGGGTTCCCATCTGCAATTCAAAGCGCTCTCTCCACTTTACTCGGCTGTTCCCCTGTGCCAAAGGCTACGCCAGAAATCACAGAATCACAGAAACATTCAGGTTGGAAAAGACCCTTGGGATCATCAAGTCCAAGCTATAACCCTACTGTGCAGAGTCCACACCTAAACCGTATCCCCCAACACTACATCTAAACGACCTTTAAACACCTCCAGGGAAGGTGACTCAACCACTTCCCTGGGCAGCCTGTTCCAGTGCCCGACTACTCTTTCTGTGAAATTTTTTCTCCCAATCTAAATCTACGCTGTTGCAGCTTGTGGCCATTCCCTCTAGTTCTAGTACCAATTACTGGTGAGAACAGCACCAACCTCTCTACAATGTCCTTTCAGGTTTTAAATCTCTGTACAGTTCAAACAGCACACTGGATGCATGCATTTGAAGGCTTACCGCTCCCAGAAGTCTTTTCTCCTCTAGAAGAAACAGACTGAATCTTTCCATCTTTGCTCTCGGGTCATTCTCACTCCTCCACTCCAAGTGACCTAAATCCTTCTTGAAATATGGTGCCCAAAACTGGGTACAATACTCATTGCGCTTTACAATCCTGAGCCGAATTGGTTCTTATCTTGCAGATAAAACTTTTATGAATTCTCGTTTATTTGCCTTTTCTGCAGCCCTATGTCACTTGTGGACTAATCCTCATTTCATAAAAGACGACACAGAATTCACTCTAAGGCTGTTGCCACGCAGGAATTCCTCATCTTGGAGTTGCAGAATAAAATTCCTATTTCTAAATCATTTATTCTACCTTAGCACAAATCATTTTAATTCTACGCCTGCCTGGCAAGATGTTGCAGTCCCTCTCAACTGATCTGACTGCAGGTGTAATAAGCATGTTTCTTATTCTCTCATATGAAGCATTAATGGAAAAATACCGCAGAATTCCACCTTATTACCCAGCCTGCCAACAATGCTTAACCACTCTCCAGAAAGAGCTTTCCAAAGGCGCAGACATTTTATATTTTTACCAGCACCTTAATTCCCACATTTGCTTATGACAATGCCATGCAGAAGTGCCAAAAGATAACTCGCACCCCTTCTCTTCCACTCAAAACGCCTAAATGAGGGAGACGTTGCCTCTTTCAGCACCTGGGGGCAGCAGCACTGCGTGTTTCTGCGGGGTGAGGCTGTTCCTCCCCAGGCCCTACAGGCTGCTCCAGGAGCTGGGGCTGCGTGTTCCTCCAGTCACAGCGACACGCCACAAGATGTCACTGTGTCACTAAAATGTTTGGAAACCAGATCAAGGTTTGCCCGGTCACAAATACATAGCCCCAGAGGAACAGAAAAAGGAAGCAGTAGGTGAAGTTTAGTATTAGAATTACAGGCTACATGAGAAGTGGCCTATTCTGAACTCCGGTGCAGGTTTTGTGGGAGTTCTATCGAACAACGCACAACATTCCTTCCAAACAAGCTGAAATTCACAGCTCTTGAACATAAAAAAGAACAGCTTACTACAAGTTCTCCAATGTGTTTTGCAATCATTAAATTATTGAGGCTGTTCTTCCCTTTGTAGAAAGGGAACCACAATCTAGGGAGGCTAATACACGGTTCGTCTAACAGACAGTGTGCTCTGCACTCAATCGAAGAACTCCAAAGCAACTCTCCCAAGCCCTGACAGACACCCTGGTCAAGGGGCACGTCATCTTCCTCCCCACCAAAACCTTCTGTGCCCCTTTGTCGAGGTCCTTCACGCAGCGCGCATCCTGAGCCACAGGAGCAGGCAGCACTGACAAGCCAGCAGAGCAGGAGTACGCTGGAGGAGGTTGGTGCCGGCTTCTGTAGAAATTCAACACTAACTCCTCACTCCTTTGAAATCCCTGCCAGAACTTTTAATCCAGTCAAGAAATAGCATGTTACGCTTTCCATTCTGCTGGAAGTCTCACCACCTAACCCAAATCCACTGTCCAGACACGCACAGTGGAACCAAATGAAGCCGGGACAGTATCTGACTTGCCATCAGTGCTAGATGCAGCATTTTTCTCTTAAATGCGGGTTTAGAACCCTCCTACAGCGATACGATATTCCCATTATGACACTTTGCAATTCTACAATTCACTTGTCATCACGTGCTTCTGTGCTAAATAAGAAAATAAAAATTCTTGACACTGTGACAGACATCACCAACTTCTAAGAACTATAACAAATCCAAAAGGAGACCCAGGGAATGATTAGGACAGCAATTCTGTAAACATTTCGCTCCACAACTTGCCTTCACATTGCTCCATCTGGTCTAAAACCCAAATCTCAGTGAGTCCACAGCATAAAGAGGTGGATAATAGTCTAAACAGCATACTATGAGCTAGGAAGAGAATTCCACTTACCTGTCATACATCTCTTTGAGATCTCTGGCCAGTTTGCATTTGGGGAGGATGTGATGGAAAGGTGACTGTGGCCCTTCTGTGGCTATGGAAAATTTCAAAACAAGGAAGCAAACAACTGACTTCAAAGCACAGAGAGTTTCCTCTTCCCCCACTAGCTATCAACCAGTATCTTAGGGACAGAATCCATACCTTTTTAATCTAAAATTATCTTTCAAAGCTTTTACAATAACTCAAGTTACGTGCTAAAATAATAATAGTGAATTATTGGCTTAACCTCAACTCAGTTAAGCACACGCAACTGTGAATTTGACAAGTGATGATTTTAAGTGCTTTTGTTCTTAAACATGTTAAGTTTTAATTTTTAATGCTTGCAGCAAGATGATGTATCACTGTCAGAGTTCACCTTAAATACTGCATATTAGTGTAGTAAATTGCTCTGAAGCACAGCCTATAAAAATGTTCTCTAACTAATTGCTAGCCATGGTAACAATGCATAAGTGTAAAGCTTCCACCCCAGAAATGCGGTGACTCAGCACAGGGCATTAAAGCATGGGAAACACGCTCTAGGTTGGGAGAAGCAGCCTAGGCATGAGTTCTTCCATCGCAACCCCACAGGCTGATCCAAATGGTTCAGTGCACGTCCTCCGGGAACTGAGCTAGCAAGGCAAGTAAACAAGCTATTTCCCTTCTAAAGCTGATTGCTCTGCATAGGGATAGTGATCCTGGCTGAGGCAAACCGCAGCCAGGAGCTGTCAGAATGCTGAAGAGCACCAAAATTAGTCCATACTGATCTCAGCCACGAAAGAATTAAGAAGGCAAAATCAGCACTTTTCTGAAAAGGTGCTCCTGGAGAAACATACTCCTGCACGACGCTAAGCTCAGCACTCACTTTCTGACATGGCAGACACTTCATCCTGAATAGCTAAGATCAGCTTGGCCTCCCTGGTCAGGTATTGGCAGCGGCGCTCCTCATGCTGCAAGACTATGGCGATTCTTCGGGAGAGGTTGTGCAAGCAGTTTATCACGGATGGATCTGCATTGGCCTACAGGCAACACAGAAAACAAACGGGTCAGTCATTCAGCCGCAATCATATATATGGAACTACAGTGATGGATAAGACGTCAAAATAAGTATCTTCAGTAGATATCAAAAGCCAACCTCTCTGGCAACTGGAAAAAAAAAAATATGGAATTTTCTCTAGCAGGAACAAGGCAGAAGCTCAGAGATGTCCAAAGGCAAAGACTTGGAGATCTCTTGTCTTATGTGCATCCAATGAACACAGAATCTGGAGTATAACACTCCTATCTGGATTTTTTTTTCCAGTTGTTTTTCTGCTAGCAGAGAGACCAAATAACTCCAACTCCAACAATTAACTCTTGCACAGTGAGAAAAGAAAGTGTCAGGCTATTTGAAAAGCTAGAATATCACAACGTTCAGGTTAAATTCAAGGGGAGTATAAGGACTGCACTGCCTTTAACACAGCTCATTCGCTCTGCTTTGCTACACTGGTGTTTGTCTTACATACTAACAAGACAGTAATGAGGTAAGAATTACCAGCACATGATCAACAATCTGATTCCAAACCAGAATGAATGTGGATTTACGTTCCCAAACACTTCACAAATATGGCTTATTACTAACATTGCATTCGTGCAAGTCCCAGAATGAAAGTGCTAGAAAAATCTATCGTGGAAGTACAGCTGACGGGAGGGGGGGCTCCAGTCTGAGTAAGCAGCTGCATCATGTTTGTTAAGACATTTAAAGGAATTTACAGTTCTAGCAAGCGATAACCTGGAGTGTAAACTAGCAAACCATGAGTCATCATTTTTAGAGTCCACTGTTCTTGCTGAGTCACGACACGTTGGTAACCCTGAAACTGAAACACAGCAGGATCGGTGCTGATTATGGCACTGGGGACTTTGCCTGCTCTGTCTGCCCACTGCAGATGGACTCTACACCTTATCTCAGAATGCCTCCACCCACCCTCTGCAGGGCACTGCACTAGGCAAGGAAAAAATTTCCACTTGCTTCTTGCACAGCATTTTCTGGAGACTTGACAGTTCTCCATGAACTAAGAATGTCGCATTTGGCAAATACTATTTAGTGCTGCATTACACACGCAATTACATCAGAATCATCACAGTGCCAAAAGGTAAAAAAAAAAAAAAATTAAAAAAAAAGGCAACTTTTCCCAGGAGATTCTAAAATAACTACTAGGGCTAGATAAAGTCTTCATTGCACTTCACCAGACTCTTGTAATTTTGCGAATGAAGGAGCACTGGTTCTGCTGCCACATGACTCTATGTGCATGAATGTTCATGGCTGCATGCCCATCTACACACACTTACCTACAACCACAGCGGGGTGCTTTACCAACACACCAGAACAACAAAATTCTCGATGCTAATGCCTCTCTAAATGTGTGAAACCTGAAATCAACTCATAAAATGAACTATCGCAAATTCAGCACTTCCTCACCTAACAATGTCCCAAATCACAGGAACCCCAGCTGAACGCAGTGAACAATTTTCTTGCTTGATCCAGACTGATTGCTGGTGTGAATAGATTCAGACTGAATTGATTCAGACTTGATTCAGACTTACTGCCTGGTGTGAAACCCTGCTCTTCATCTGAGGACAGGCCATCTGGACTGTGGCTGTGTCCATGTCAGTCATTACTGGAAAGCCAGAGGTAAGAAAAGTACTAGTGTTAAAAAGAAAAAAAAAAAAAAAAGTAATTTCACAAGCAGGGAGCTGGACGTGACATTATATCCAGTCCAGCAAAAAGCAACCACTTCCATAAAGACAGCTACTCCAACTCCTCCTGTTTTTAAAACATTTCTTCCTATGTGTACATGCCACAAATATAATATGATGGCTCCACAGAGGCAACCTGTGGGCTGGAAAGAGAAAGCCAGAGCTCAGAAACTAAATAATGCTCAAACCTAATGAGATTTCTAGGGTTTTATACTACCTAATGAGCCAAGTCAGGATCCCTTTATACAGACACTAATATCTAGGCAATAGAGTAGGCCTGAAAAAAATTCCAAGAAAACATTACATATTTGTTCCAGGTTCTTGCTGAGTGTCAAAACCCACCTATTCTTCACTTGTACCTTGTTCTCATTTAGAATGCCACAGCTGCTGCTCCCTGACACTCTCCCTTTACAATGATCTCATTGCCAAGAGGAGGCAGCTTTCAAACACTGCCCATTCAATTATTAAAAAAAAGCCTAAAGGCACTGAGCAAAGGCACACGTCTCTACCAGGCAGCAGGAGTAAGGACTTAAAACAGCGCTGGCCTGAGCCACAGTAGGTTTCTGACTGACTCTGCACTCAGCAGGCTGGGCTGACCAAGCCCACGGTGGGCACCTCCAAAGGCCGGTCAAGCACGAGCCGCTCTCTGCCTCTGGAGCAGAACCAGCCACCACGGTCCGAACTCCAGGGAGTCCCACGGGCTCGGCAATGCACCAGCACAGCTGTGAGGATCTGGTCCTGCCCAGGGCAGGAGAAGGGCAGTCACGGACAGAGAGCTGCATCTGACAGGCAGGATAGTCAGAGCCTTCCTGCACAGCTTAGCTGGACACACCGCAATCGCAAGGTCTAGAAAACGGCCAGCAGATCACCCCCGCACTAATAACAGGAGACAAAGACACGCGCAGGGCATGCAACTGAGTTTAGATCTATTTTGTAAAGTGGTTTCTTGCTCGCCTTTGAGCTCTGGGTATATAAAACCAAAAACTCTAGAAAATGTCCTGAAAAGAACAACTGTTCCTGTCTTCTGCTGTGCTAGGAAACTTCCCCACTTACCAGTGTCATATTCGACATTGTTTAGGTTTGTTGTTTCAAATTAAAATATCCCAGTGAATGTTTTACAAGAGATGACTGGAACATGAGCCTGTCAGATGGAATGAAGATAGTCCTTACCCTTAGTGCAAACACCACGTTGAAGAGAATCATAGTGGGCATCTCTCTTTTCGGTGAGGGATCAGTTTTGGATACCTGAAAAATATTTTTTAAAAAAATCCCATAGGCTAGTGTCAGTTGGATCCAGTAACAAAGCGGAAAAAAAAAAGGCCTAACTCAGTCAAATAGCAAGTTTTCCAAGAGAGCAGACAAATCAAACCACACCATCAGATTTGACTCGTGAAAAATAAAACTTTCTTTTTTGTGAAAAATAAAATTTCCTTATTAAAGTGTCACATTTACTCTACAGCAACCATCGCCACAAGGTGGAGCACAAAATCCAGAGGACGTTGCTGCCACCCCCAAAGCTCCCCACCGAACACACCTCCAGCCCCAAGGCAGAAGAGCTCTAACGTGCCAGGCCAAAAAAAGCACCCAGGGAACCAAATATTCTACTCAACGTAGGTGCATACACAGCTAACGCAGCACCTGAGACAGGGCAGAGCAGCTGGCAAAAGCAGAGCTCCATCCACCCTTCCTGGCAGGTCCCAAGCACCAGCACAAACTGCTCAGCAAGGAACTCCAAAATCTGTGTGCTTTCACTCAGTAGTCTTAAAAATTAGAGGAGCTCACAGAAGCAGCACATACATTTGTGGTTTTTTTCTTAAGTGGAAGTGAAGTTCAAAAAGGCAGTGATGGGAGGGTAGTAAAGCCAATTTACTGTGTTTATTTGTTTCGGAGTTAGAGGTTCCAAGATGTCTTGTGAACTTCAATAAGGGCTCAAAAGCATTTTAGGGACTCGTCCTGTTTCTTCCTCAAAATCAAAGAACCACCACTAGCATCAGCTGGGATGCAGGCTAGATTTCATATCACCTCTTGTCCAGAAAAAAAAGAAGAAAAGACTAAGCTGGAAGAGAAAATGCTGAAGGAATTTGAAGAATTCAGGATACTGCTACATAAAAGGCTGTCTGGTACAAAGGGTTAGATGTTCGTGCTCTTGTAACTCCCGAATCTCACCCGAGTAAGAATTTGCTGAGCTGTCCCGAGGATTAACTTAGTGCAGTAGCAACTCTGAAGAAACCCAAACCAGACGCTGGCAGGTTACTCCAGTCACTGCTTTTGCTCCGTGGGAAAGGAGCTCCATGGAGCTTCCTCCGAACTGCAAAAGGTCCCACATTTAGACTCAAAGAACGAGCAGAGATGGCTCCCATGTCTAAAAGATTCTGAACACTAGAAAGTTCTAGGGTGCCTAATGGGGTGATAAGACACACCCAAAAGAAGATCCTACAAGAAGTAACAAAAGAAGCGTCTAAAGCACTTCATAGCTTTGTTTATTTAGCCAGTTGCATTTTTATTTAGACAAATGGAAAATGAAAAGACATTTCAGCACTTAGGATAAAACTGACTGGAAAGTGGCAAGAACGTATAATAACACGTGGTGAAAAAACGCAAAAACAAATACTGGGGACGCTGATGGACTTGAATAGCTTGGGGACACTTGAATTCTGTGTTCCAAAACAGATTAAACATTTGAGGACTGAGTCTCGGTGATCCTCCGTCACATTTCTCGTAGGCTCACAACTGAGTTTCGAAAGCGGAACACTAGCATCTTGATGCTTGAGGCCAGTTCCTCACTTGGATTAGAGCAGACTGGTCCTCTAAATATCAAGCAGCAGCTGCCAACAATCTGTTTGCACCTCTCATTATAGATAGGAAGGATGATAAAGTTGGCAAGCAGATTTCTTCTCCTGAAAAAATGAACAACTTAGTAAATCTGATGAAAAATGAGACCAAAGCAGTTCAGGGACAGCGATCAGCGGTGGATTCAGAAATTACCAAAGCCGAACTCATCCTCAGTCTACCAAGAAGAAGGAACGAAACAGGAAATATTTTGCACAGAGAAGCATGTAAATTCTTTCCCAGATTTAAGCAGGATCTTTTTTCTTAGCCTAGGTGGCAAAGGCCTTCATTCCAAGCAGTTATAACACAGGCTAGGGAGCAAGGTCTCAATGCAAAGGGCAGCTCAACTTCATCCACAAGAAAATTTAAAACCTCTTCCAACACCCTACCCATTCCAGCCAAGCCTTGGGAATCATCTTCAGCACCAGTGAGGGTTAAAAGCCAAACAAGGCTTAACACGGCTTCTAGTATTTGTGGAGGCTTTGGGTTTGGGGTTTTTTTAACTGCCATACTAATTAGAGGTGCTAAAAATCTCAACTTGCAATAACTAAAGTAGTGAGAAACAGCTTTTTGAGCCGGACTGCTCAGTATTACTTCTCTTTTCCAACACTGCTTTCCTACAGTAACCAGAAGGGGCTTTCAGTGAATCACTGACACAGCTCCCTCAGTTTGCCACTCGTTGTGTTTATCTGGAAGGAAGTAACAGACAGCTTTGAATGTCAGGAAGTAAAAACAGGATCAAAAGCCAACACGCACATTCTTAATTCTAAGTTCCCTAACTAAAGCAGCCAGTTTGTAAAGAAGGCAGGTGCCCAGAGCAGACCTCGTACCGTACCTGCCCAAGGGCATGCTGAAGCAACGTGGGATGGCCAACGAAGCGAACATTATCAATCTTCAGTTCAAACTTTTTGCCACACATATCTGACTTGGTAGCCAAAATTGTTGCCAGGATGACATCCGAGAACCTTGAAGAGCAGGAACAGAAGTCATTACAATTTTCAAAAAACATATCCCCAGAATATCCCTCCAAATACAGATATATTTTAACTTGATTTTAAAGTATTGTAAATTGTGACAAAATTGCTGTACCTGGAGTACCACCAATTAGGGAAAATTAAAAACCCCTTAATTACATCTCTCAGATCATCACAATTATGAAACAGAAGCATTCACAACAAAGACTGCAGGGTCATGCTTATTTAATTACATGCTCAGCAAAATACATTGGAAAGATTAGATGCAGTTTGCTTAAATATAAAAACAGCTCGAGTTAGCCATTGCCTGGATTTAGCTGCAGGTTAATGAACTTACTAAGCAACTACATATCGACACAGCCTGTCACTCAAGCACAACAGAGATCTTTAAGCCACCCGGTATGGCAGAGGGGAAGGCAAGAAAAGAGCTGATTAAATTAGAAGAAACATACAACCAGTGCTTGTCCTTCCTTTCCCAAATCTCATCAGTGAGACTCCAAGTTACTCACTTAACAGACCTGAACCTGTGGTCAACAGACCCTTCGGAGAGCTGCCTGGCCTCACCTGGGCTTCCTCATCTCATCAACCAAACAGACAAATTCATGGCAGGGCAGGCCCTTCCCAGCGCCGACCATGGTGTTACTGGATCGCCCTGGATGAGTGGTGGGAAGGCAGCTGTGACGCGGGAGGGCAAGGACCTACAAGGAGTCTGCTCTGGAGAAGACAGCTACTGCTGCCAAACCGGGTAAAAATCCACGGTGACAAGGGAGGAATTCTGCAACTGCTCTTTTCTGACGGCCTTGCAACGTTGGTGCAGTTTCTGCAAACACTTGTTACCCTCAGGGTGTCCCCTGAGACAGTGAGGCTCAAACCCACGGGGAAGAGGACCTCAGTTAGCTGCTGCAGGGAACATGCAGTGCAGGGCTTGATATTAGCAAGTTCTTTCCCCATCTGATTTCTAGGAGGCTCCCATTTAACCAAATGAATTTCAAACCAGTTTCTGATGAGACCATTTTTTTAAGAATGAAAACACTTACTTCATTTTCTTTATTTACACTCAGGGCTGTGTGTCCCTGTGAGACCATCCCCCTCCACCAGGCAGGTATCCCAGATAACCCATTATCACTCAGAGAAAAGGGCAGGCGTGGGTGTGTGCTGCGCTCACCTTATCTCCTGGCCACAAGTGAGCCCTCGATGCCCAGAGAAGGAGTTAATTTACCATATTCCTCGTTCACTCTGAGCGAGTTAGGGAGCACTGCAGAACTTGAGACAAGTGCACACAGCCACTCTTTTGTGCCTGTCCATCTGCATATGACCCAGGGGGGCACTTCTTTTATTCGACCTACGTATTCCGAAGATGAAGGACAAACACAGAGGGTTTACAAACTGTCAAAGTCCTTGGGGTCTGTACCAACAAGTCATCCTGACCACAGCACACTGCTTACATTTGGCTGACAGAAGGAGCAGCTGTGAACAAAATTCCAAATCCCTGGTCGCTCTGCTCCAAAGGGCAAGAGTAGCTTGAGACTCCTGG